CTTCTGCCGGGATGTAAGCGCCAACACATGGGCTTCTGAGAAAGCCAACCTGGCAGGGAAGGGAAATCGCTGCGGTCAGTGGTTGGCTTGGAAGTCTCGGCGTCACCCTGGGCCCTGTGTTCTCTCACACTAACAGCGGCCTCTCGGGGTCACTGTCCCTGGCCACTTGCTGCTATTGTCCTCGTTGGGTCCTTCTTCATGTTTGCGTGGCTGAAGCCAGGTCCTTCTTGAAACCATAGCTACAGCCCCTCATCCGTCCCTGCATCACACCTCTCCACACTCCGCTGCACTCTGCTCTCGCCGCATGAATCCTTTCATGGCACAGCCCTCCTCACTGCGTTTTCCAACACTGGACAACTCCCCCTCTGCTTTGGAACGACGCAGACACTCCTCAGACTGGCATTTCCGACTGCCCCGTGGCTGGACTGGCTCAGCCTACTCTCCCAGCTTCGCCTGTCTACGCTCCTTGCTCACGGCGCGTGCCACCACTCTGCACCCAAGGTCTGCTCTGCCCTGGGTCTGTGCCGCCCCCAGCTTCTCAGCCCACCATCCCACAAGTCTGCGCTCAAACGACGCCCGCACGGGGACGTGCTCTCCGCAGTTCTCAACTCTCTTGTGGTGTGCGTCACCCCTCGTGTTGTAATTATCTGTATGTGTAGTGAACAGACCCAGGCCCGTATTATAAACCTCCGTAAAGCAAGCTTTACAGCTCAGCCTGGGTCGCACATCACTTAGAGCTGTACCCAACGCCTTACTCACGGGAGACACCCAGTAGGTAGTGATTAACTCATCCAACAAACATGTATGAGTTTTGAGTGAATAAGTGAATGAAGAGCTCTAAAGCTAGAAGACGAGATGGAAACAGGTGCTTTGTATTGTAACAAGGACAGCAAAGAGCACAACTAGGGACAGTCCAAGCAGCATTATGGAGGTGGAAAGCAGATGGAGCCCCAGGCAGCACATGGGAAGGGTAGGAGTGTCCTGTTTCTCAGCTACATCCTTTGAAAAGCCAAATTGTTGTACGTACCGTGACATATGTCACTGACATAACTGTTTATAGGGAAGTCTTGTTATTCAGAGCACGCGCTAGCCAAAGAAAGCTGGCAGAAATACAGGCTTCTAGTCTCAGAACAGTGGTAGCAAACTGTGGCACATTATTAGTGTATTATTTTTAAATTTTAATATGTAGGAATTAGTTTTCAAAAAATCTGTGAATTTGTTGTCCCATGGAAGAGCTGAATCAATAATTGCCGATCCTGGGGTTACCGCACAAAATATAAAATTATTTTCTCCTGCCTCCCTCTCAGTGAACTTTACTTCTTATTTTCTAGGAATGGAGGCAAATGTTAATAATATAGCGAGTAGTCACTTGACAAACTGCTCACCTAGGTCACCAAGAACTGGATTTGCCTGTCACTTTTCAGAAACACATCTGCCACCATGGCAGAGTCCAAATGTACTCAATGGCTCAGCAAGCAAAGAGAGTTGGTCGTTCGGTACCCAGGGGGCCATGTGTGAACAGACGTCCTTTCCCCCCAGCCCATTTAAACAGCGGTAGATAGTTTCGGGAGTATGAGAATTTTTCTGGTTGCCCTTTGAGAAACTTTTAGTTCTAGTCAATCAAAAATTGATCAACGTGACTCACTAATACAGCTCCAGGTACAGACAGGAAGTGAGGGACACCTTCCCAGTGTCTTAGTCATGTTGACTCTTGGCTTCTTTGTTTTACCAAGAATACATCATTTTCTAGATAAGTTAAAACATTTAAAAGATAACTCCCTTAGTACCAGTCATGTGATAGGAATTTAACATATGATTACTAAATACGTATAGGGGGTTTTTTTTCACTCCATGTATCAAGTGAAGTCTTACAGTTTTGCCAAGTACAATAAACCAAGAACCTTGAGGAATTCTGATGCATTGGAACTCTTTTCACTTTCTTCCCTTCACCAAAATGCCTAGATCAGGGCTGTGTAAACAGTACTCACACATGCACATACGACTACACAGGAACATGCATGTACACACAGGCTATTGTGTGACTGTACAGCACCCCAAACCAATCAGCTTTGAAGTGTATCTACTGAAAGTGTGACTATTTCCCTGAATGTGGAGAATAGCAATATTATTACAGGAACTCAAGGAGAGAAAAAAAAACTATTTGTGTTTATTTTGATGGTTGCTTAGCACTTTTGATTTTAAAGTCATAGTTATAGTTGAATAACTGATTGTCCTAGTAAGCAGATTTCTATCTAATCTTTTATCACAAATAAATTATACAGCGTAATAGTGCTGTTGACTGAGAGCAACCCGCCGGTCAGATAGTTTTAGTTATTACTTAGGTTGTCATTAGCACTCGGCCCAGTCTGTTTTGATATGGCCTATTTTCTTTCCATTCAAAGCTATGAACGTAAATTTTAAAAACACTTAAGACAGTGAGAAATGGGGATTTGGGAGTCAGGCGGAATATATGCTAGGCCGCATAGGAGATGGAAGGACTTCGGCCTGGTTACTCAATTCTTAGAACTTTACTTTTCTCAGCTGTAAAATGAAGATAACAATAGTACACACCGCTTAGAGTTGCTGGAGGGATTGTGCGATGTAACGTATGTAAAGTATCTGGCTAATAATAGGCCTTAGAGAATGTTAGCTACAGTCCCCCTTCTTCCCTAGGATTAATAATCCAAACAGTGCCTACAATGTCAGTGTAAGAGCATTTGCCAGGTAACAAGCACTTCCCTTCCATGGGCCGTGAGGCCGGGGAGGTCCAGGGCTGACTACCTCCCCAGCTCTTTCCCTTGTGCTGTGCTTTGGATCTGGAGTGCTCCCCAGGGTCTCAATGCTGGGGGCTGGGTCACCATCTGATGGGCTTTTGGAAAATGACTGAATCATGGGGGCTCTAACTTCGTCAGTGGATTAACCTACAGATGGCTTCATAATTAATGACATTCGTGGGAGGTGAGAGGAGGCTGGAACTAGTGGAAAGTAGCAGATCCTGCAGCCATGCCCTTGGGAATTATATCTTGTCCCGGTCCCTCCTCCACCGGCTCTCTCACTCTCTGGGCTTCCTGGCTACTGCAAGGTGAGCAGCCTTCTCTGCCATGCTCCACATGATGCCCTCGTACCTACTGGCCTCCTCCTGTTCCTCTGGTCACCGTGCTTCTCCCACTGCAGGGCCTTCTCAACCACTCTGTCCCCAGGCAGTTTCTAGAACATTCTAGACTGTCCCTCTACCTGTGTAATCACCCCTCAACCTTCATCTATCAGCTCAAATGTCACTTACTTGGCAGTACTTTCCTGAGATTATGCATCCTTTTATGCCCATTCATGTATCCAAGACTTTCTCTGTTGTAGTTGTCACGCTCTTAATTGCACAGTTTTCCATAATTGTTTGTTATGGACTGAACTGTGCCCTCTCCCCCATTCACGTGTGACGCCCTAACCCCTAGTACCTCTGAATGACTGTATTTGGAGATAGGACCATTAAGAAGCAAATTAAATTAAAATCGAGGGGACCCCAATCCATTCAGACCTGTGCACTTATAAGAGATTAGGACACACAAAGAGAGATACCAGGGATGGGTGCACAGAGAAAGACCACAGGACACAGGAAGAAGGCAAGGAGAAATCAAACCCACTGACACCTTGATCTTGGACTTCCAGCCCCCAGGACTGTGAGAAAATAAATTTCTATTCTCTGAGCCAGCTAGACTTGACAGCCCAAGCCAGCCAGCACATATTTAAGGCCTGGCTCCCTCTGCTAGACTATGAGCTCCCCAGGATGGAGAATGTGCCTTCATTTCACCACTGAAATCTCTGCGCATGGTCCAAGAAGAACTAGTGCTCTTTGGTTTAATTCATGAGTTCATGGATAAACAAATGATGCAGGGATATGTCAATTTCATGCTAAAAACTCTGTCTTCTGGGTTCTCCTAAGAGACTGACAGCAGACCTGGTGAGTATTTATTTGGGGAAGGCAGGAATACCCCGCCCAGAAGTCTCAAACCCTAGCCTGCTGAAAGGGTTGAGAAATGTGTCGTTGCACTGCAGGACACTGGGCAGCTCAGGCACAAGGGCCTGCAGGTGGTTCTCAGAGGTTCACTGCTTTTTCTCCTGGGTGCGTGCCCAGGGCAGGATGTGCAGGGCTAGGCTTCGGGGGCACCGTGGCTGCCCTCTAGGATCTTGCCCTGGTTCTCAACACTGGGTTTCCAAACGTGCTGTGGCCCCACAGGACCATCTGAGTTCCAGTTTCCTAGAGTTGACCAACACCAAGAGTCTCACACTAGTTTTTGGTGGACATGGAAAGCCAGATGCCTCCCACATATTTGCAAGAATTATGGACACCAAGCTCATGACTTGTGTGAACGGTACTTGGAGTTATACGGCCCCTGGGAGCCCACGCATCCTTAGGTGTATGAAGCCATCTGGTCACCTGACCTACAAGAAAGTCCTTTCTCTACCTCGACAGCATCTCTGTCCATTAGTAGGTGGCTAAACACTGAAGATTAATCGAGAACATGTCACTTTGGGTCATAGCACCCATTTGGAACCTCTTTTTAAAAGTGAATCTGCACCCACCAGCTGTGCATCCTTTTCAGTCGTGAACTTTTCACCCTTAGTTTACTAATTCTTTTCTCCAGATGGACCTGAGCTGGCACAGACAGGGAGATCTATCTTGAATGTGATTTCTGCACTGTTTGTGTGCAGCGCTCAGGTCCTCGATCCCATCCCCTAAATACCCCCTGAGTCATACACAGGGGAGCTCCGGCATCCACAGCGCCAGCTAGGGGAAGCCAAGCTGTGGGAGTCCCCCAGCTGGGGAGGGTAAAGGTCACAGAGGGCATTTCCTGTGCAGTGGCCCTTTGTTCCCTTGTCCCCACTTGGCTATAAATGGTTAATCTAGCTCAGCTGGCAGGAGAAGGTTTCTGCCGGCTATAAAGTTTGACTCCTGGAGGCAGATTTTTTTTTAAATCCAGCAAGTGTCAGATAATTGGAAGGGTGGAGTAACGCTGTAAACCACAACACGCCTTTGTCAGGGCTTGTTTGGGAGCAGAGAGAAACAAGGAGGAGAGATGAAGTGAACATTTTTGGAGGATCACTCAGCTCTAACACACCTTGGCTGGGTCTGGATAAAAAAAAGTGGGCACTGCAAACCTGTGGAAGACAACGTCAAAGGAAGAAAGAGAGGGGGATTTACTAAAAGTTCTTTCCAGTTCCGTCAAAATCGCAAGCCAGGTAAGCAGCAGGAAGACTGACCTTCCTCTTTCTTTCTGAGACTTTGATTTAGGGGTTTGAGACTTAGGAATCAAATTTTTATTGGCAAAAATAAATAAGATGAAGTTCTTCATTTCTAGAGTTCTTCTAGTTGAAGTGATGGATTTTGGTCATAAATGACGACTCTGATATATGTGTTTGTGCATAGGGCAAGTCTTTTAAAGGAGTAACAACAATAAAAAAAAATCCAGGGGTGGAAAAATGAAGCCAGTTATGACATACTGGGCTCCAGTGGCAAGATTTGTCTGTATGATTCTCGGTATTGTGGAATGACTTGTAGTAAGGCATTTTATTTAGACTCTGATAAGGACTGTGATTCCGTCTCTCTGCACCCCAGTTCCCTCTCTCACTGCCTGCTCTCCCCCTCCCTCCGTTTCCCTCTCCCCACTGGACAGCAGAGAAGGGCAGGGGGAAGGTGAGGAGCGGGTGGGGGCCTCCCAGGAGCAGGCCCCACGCTGCCCAGCCTACCTGCTGACAAGTTCAGATGGAGCCCCTGGGGCTGGGCAAAACATTGCTGCTGTTCATGTTGTAAAACTGTTACTGCCTGTAATCTAAGGTAAAGTGAAATCTCTGAAATGGCCCAATTGATCCAGGAATTTCCTAGAGTTGACCTCAGAGGTGTTAAAAAAGAAAAAGAAGAAGAAGAAAGAATATTTTTTCTTATACATACTCTCACCAGTCAGGTCAGCCTCCTCCCCCACCCCCAGGATCACTTTGGGATGAGAATTACCAGTTTATGCATCTACCTAGACTACAGTAACTGCAAACTAACAAATTAGCACTTCACTTTTTGAAGCGAAGGCAAAACCTCTGGCGCCTCACTTCTTTTGAGAAGCAGTTAACAGGGAGTGTAAAGTCGGACTGGCTGTGTCCACAGAAGCGTAGTGAGATATTTTAAAAGGTGTTTGTTTGAAAAGCAGAACCGTCTCCTCTCACCTACATTATCCTGTCTGGAAGCCGAGGCACACATGTGAGTCAGAACTAACCCAGCACACCTGTCCAGCCGCTGAGAGCCTCAAAGAAACAGAGCCTGTTTTTTTCATGGGCGCTGTGAATCTGATCAGAGTTTGTCGGGGATGGTTAAAGTGACCACCTTGCTTCAAACTGGCATAGAAACTCCTTCAACTGGAGAAACTAATCAGGCTAAGAACTACCCACATTCTAAAATTGGGCCTGACCAAAAGGAGCCTGTGCCTGCGTTGATTTGCTCCTTTGACATTATTAACAGCAGCAACCACACAACCCAGCTGGCGTCCCCTCCTGCACCCCTGTGGTTGTGAAAATCGAGGGTGTCAGATGTAGCAAGTGGCAAGCTCATCCCGTGGTGTTGTAGAGACAAAACCTCCAGCATCTCCACCCCAGGGCACTGGTTTTCCTGCGGTCAAACTGCTCCTTCCTCGTATGTTATCCGGTCAATAGGCTGAGGATGGTTTTCTCACATTTTAGCAATGACGTTTTTGTTTTAAATCTTCAAGTATACAGAGATTGAAGTAATAATTGTAAAAAAAATTTTGTTATTCCTTAGCAGGCATGAAAACATTTGTTCCTAAAATTAGAAAATAGAAAAACACTTAGCATCCTTATTCTCTCTCTTTTTTCCCCCTGCATCGAGGATAAAGTGTCCCTCACATCAGGAGATTGGATGAGGTCCGTGTGGTAGCAGTTGGTCCCACTTGTGGGTTAGGTTATGTCACTATCTGAACAGTTTTAGACAGATGTGACATCATTTAAATAACAGGGAAAGGATAAAAGAATGAATGAAATTGTATCTTCTTGCCGAAGAACATGGTGTGGGATCATTTTTACATCTTCCAGAAGACATCAGTTGTGAACTAACCCCCGGCAGCCCCTTAGGAAGTGCAGACAAGCATGTTTTCCGTTACGTGGAAGCTGAGAAGTAGAGTAGCTATTCCTAGAGGCTGGGGGACAGCAGGGACCAAAATACAGCTAGATGGGAAGAGCAAGCTGGTGTTCAGGGGCGCAGCAGACTAGAGTGAACAAACAGCTCAGTATATATTTCATAAGGTACTGGAAGAGAGAAGTTCACAGGCTCCAAACACTGAAAAATGATCCATGTTTCTGAGAGGCTGAGGTAAGAGAATCGTAAGTTTGGGCCCAGCCTAAGCAATTTAGCAACTTGGCAAGACCCTGTCTCAAATAAGGAGGTAGTTCAGAGCAGAGGGCCTGGGTTCAACCCCCAGTACCAAACACACACACAATCAAGGATAAACGTTTAAGATGACAGAAATGCTAATTACTCTAATTGGTTCGTTACATGTATACATGTATCAAACTATCATGCTGGAGCTCATAAATGTGTACCATTATTATGTCTATTAAAAATGATTTTTTTTTTTTTTTTTTTCTTTTAGAGACAGGAGTCTCGCTATGCAGTTCAGGCTGGACTTTAGCTCATTTTGTAGCCAAGGCTAGTCTTGAACTTGCAACAATCCTCCTGCCTCAGCTTCCTGAGTGCTGGGATTACAGGCATGTGCCACCACGCCCGGCTTTAAAGATAAATTTTAATCTGGGCATGATAGCACATGCCTATAATTTCAGCACTCAGGAGGCTGAGACAGGAAGATCACCATGAGTTGGAGGCCAACTTGGGCTACATGGTGAGTTCAAGGCTAGTGCAAACTACATTGCAAGCCCCTGTGTCAAAAAGAAAAATAAATAAATAAACAAATATAAGAAAGAACTACGGGTGTAAGTTAGTATAATTTGGAATTGAGGACTTGAATTATTTGCTCATCCTAGTGCCAGTCCAGTAACCCCAATGTCTAGGAAGTTAAAAATTATGCTATTCCACAGAGCTTCCATTATGTGGTGCTTTTGGAAGATGAACTCAGGTGAGGCCTGCTACGAAGGGCAGGCTCAGGCAAGAACCCAGGCAGACTTTCCTTTCCCGGACGTTACACTTCCAAAACCCCCAGCACCTCCAGTGTTTCACAGAGAAGTCCTATAGGTACCCTAAGGTGATCCTGATCGGAGTTATACCTTCCCCCGCTATTTTCCCTGAAATATCTCCCTTACAGAGAGACTCCTCTTACTGCTAGTGTAAAAGAATCTGTCACCCAACACATCCCTGCCTCCTCTGTCAGACTGGCAGGGAATTCTGCAGGCCTCTGCAGGCCGAGGGACACACAGCTGTTTGAGTGACTTTAAGCTGAGAAACGGGCATCCTTGTGCCCCTGCCCGGGGCAGGTGCCATCCACAGGGCGCCTCCCCCTGGAGCACTCCCAGGCCTTGAGGGGGGCACCTGACTTCTTAACAGGCTGTTCCTTTGTGTCTCCTGCAAGTTGGGGAGCCCTCAGCTTTTCACTATAGAAATTGAATCTCTGCCATTGGAGTTTAGGGAAGAGATGGCAAGTCTAGAAGTGCCAGTTATTTTCCAGGAGGCAGAGAGAAGGGGCAGAATTTGCCAGAGGAGCTGTCTGGAGACAGAACTCTCCCCAAACAGCTATCATCCATCTGCCTTGATGCCTACAAGTGGAATAAACCCAGCTAGTCCTACCTGTGAATTTCACTGAAGGATCAAAAATCAGCAAGAACTTATGGGTAGTAAGAGCTTCTGTGAATTGTTACAGACAGACCTTTTTGGAAAAATATTACCTCTCCTGGCTGTCACCCCAGGCAGCAGTCACCTCCCCACCGGCAGCCAGGTATACTTAAATGTTTACTCTCCCCCAATGCCTCCTGTCCCACAGCTGATGACCAGTGGGCATGGGGGAGAAGGCAGAGAGGGGCTCCTGAAGGCAAGTTGTGCTTCGAGAAAGGATTTCTGAGAGTCCAGCTGCACAGGTTTGCAGGCCAGAGTCCCACGGGCGCAACTGGAACACAGACATAGTCATAGGCCAGGTGTGGCCTGTAATGAGGCCAGCCTCTCCCATAAACTGCTTACGGGGCCCTTCCTTTTAGCTCCAGGAAACATACCTAAAAAGACATTCTGTGGCACTGCAGATCCAGATAGAATTTTTTCCGAGATGCCTCATTATTTGCCTAGAGCTATGTTTCAGACACATTGATGAGCAAGAAGTTGGCACATTCAACCAAGCCCTGGAGCTCACTGTGCTGGCCGTGGTGAATTCCACCAGGTAGTCGACCAGCTGCTCCTATGTGGGCTTGGTTTCCAGCGGAGGAGTCACCTACAGCCATATTAGGACTGTTAAGGGCCCTGGACGCTTTTGCCCTTGGGGCCTCATCCTCCACTAAGGAAAAGACCCTTAGAAAAAAGTATGTTCTAAACCTGGACTGGTACAAACAGTATAATCCTCAGTACATTACATGTGTTTTCCTTCTGATTTTAAAAGAAACTGGGACATTTTGGGGGATCCTTCTCCAATGTGCTCTGCTACGGGCCTGAGCACTGTCTGTCAGATCTAATGGGGAAGTTGATCCCAAACTCCCTGGGCGGACAAAGCGTCCCGAAGGAAAGCCTGTGGTGAGGCGCACCAGGGCAGAAAGGTCTTGCCTTGGTCCTAGAACCCAGTGAAACCCACGATCGACAGGAAAAAGGAAGAGGAAGAGGAAGTTAGGGGAAGGGAGACAACCATAGGAAGTCCCAGTTTCAGTCTTTCCGGAACCAGGGCCAGGAGCCACAGCAGAGAGAGCCCACTTGCAGGGAGGGCGTTCTTACTGTGCTTACACCTCGAGCCCCCAGGGCCCCCGCCACCCTTTGATGCCAGCTTATGCCGTGATGCTTAGGGACACACCGCCAAGACTGCAACAGGTTTCCTTCCCTTAGGCAGAGTGACGGGAGCACACAGATAACACACAGACAGGTACCCCATCTCTATAGAGTTTACGTGTATTTTCTTATCTGTTTTTCCTACTGATGTCTGCATGGTTTGTTATGAAGAGAGTTTCCATCCTCTGCAAAGTATAAAGGTCCATGTGTGTATAACAAGTAATCTTATTTTTTTTGTCCAGACTTAAATCTACCACGCTCCATCCTCCCATCTAAACTCTCAACTAAGGCAGCATGGATGTCTCAATTCCCAGAGTTCTACATAGAACAGAAAGCGCTCCCGGAAATGTCTAATGAGTCAGTCGGTAGTACCAGTGCCTTAGCAGATACCCTTCGGCTGTTTATTACCTTGGCTCAGAGCAGGGATTTATAGTCAGACAAAGTTCAGGGCACCCTGGGTTTTGTAAGTTCTCTGATGCTCAGCAGAGGGCTGTCTGGTCTGTAAGGCTCAGGACAACAAGGTCCCAGTAGAAAGGAGTGGACTCCACAGTAGAACCCTTCCTGGGGATGTAGCTCAGTGGTAGAGTGCTTGCCTAGCCGGGGAAGGCCCTGGGTTTGATCCCCAGGGCAGAACACAAATTAAATCCAACTGGAACTCTGAAATTCTGTGAGTCACAAATGAAGGCAAGGAACAACTCTTGGAAAATGGCACGAGAAAGAATCAAGGAATCAAGCTTTGGTTCTCAGCTTACACCACAGGGGGCAGGGCCTGGGCTTGCTGAAAGCAGTGGTGAAAGACTTTCACCCTTCACGGCTTCTGGCTTTCCTGCAGGTGGCGATGGGATGGATGTAACCAAGAAAAGCAAGCGAGATGGCACGGAAGTCACCGAAAGAAGTAAGAGCGTCCGAACTTTTTTTTAAAAGCCTATAATTGCTTCACTAGAAAAATAATAAGAAATTGGAACAATTTATTCGTAATTCCTTGTCAATCACTGTATCATTTTAAAATGTGTTCCTTAATGGACCCTATGTCTTTCCATAAGATGGCCCATGCTGATACTTCTTTTAACACATTTGGAATCAAAATGTATCCTGCCTTTTCTTCCAAGACAGAAATCACCTCTTCAAGGGCTGGGGGTGAGGCTTAGTAGTATAGCACTTACCCGGCATGTAAGAGGCCCTGGTTTGATCCCCAGTACTCTGGGTGGGGGGAGGGGGAGCCTTCTTATAGTTTTCACAGCCAGCATTTTCAATAACTGTATAATATTTTGTTAAATACAGTCACCACAGTTCATTTACCCATTTCCTAATTAGGGATAGAGAATAACAGCAATCTGAAAGTATAATACCCCAGTTCTTGCATGGACTAGGTTAAAATAACACCATGGTCATAGTAAAAATCTATGCTACAAATTGAAAAAGGTACAATGATTTTCTGAGACTTCCCAAATGATAACGTCAGAGACATTTAACCTGTACACCTAACAACTTTAAATTAGAGAGTTTTTTTTTTTTTAACTTATTCTGTGACTTTCATTTATTTCCAATTAAAAAATAAACTTTTCTCAGATTTGGAACTTGAGGTTCAGAAATAATTTACTCTTATGTGTCAAAGAGTTGCAAAAGGCTACACCACAAAAGCTTTACATGCCGCTGTCCTCTGACAAAGTATTCATTTCCTTTTATGCACTGAATACTGGTGCTGCTACATTCGGCCCTGTTCTTGGTAGGAAAAGCAAGCTAATTAGGAAAACACAGGGTGAGGAAGGAAGGGATGGATGAGACAGTACGGACTGGAGCAGACCAACAGCATGGCTTTCGGTGGCTCAAAATGATCCTGCCCCATCTTCCGCCCTTCTCTCCTTTCCCCACCTCTGCCCACCTGCATGTGCTCGTACACACTCACACACACACACACACACACACACACACACACACACACACGCCCACAGGAGGTTGTCTTTTAAAGAGCAGCCACCCCAGGCGGATGGGTGCACCTTTGGCCCAACAGCCAGGAAGGTAGCGGTGAAGGTCACGGTCAGCTGTAGAAAGGACTCTGCTGAGGTCCTGGGCACCCACACGCTGCTGCTTCAGGAAACAGAGGGCTTTGGGCGGCACGAAGTCTTGATGCTGACTGGCAGCCTCTCAAACACCTGAAGCCGTAGTCCCTCCTTACACTCACCATCACTCGGGTCAGAGGATCGCAGTTTTAGGGGCCGCGGGGACTGGTCCTCCAGTCTGTCTTTGAGGTTCATGGATTGCCGATTGCACTAAGCAGCCCATGTGACTCACTCGAGCCCCATCCTTTCTACACCTTCCACACTTGTGCTGGCCCTGAAGGTTGGGGATGAATCACAACGTCCTGGAAACACCTCCAGCTCACCAGGAAGCACACAGCGACCTCAGCGGAGGGGGTGGTGTCCCAGCTGGCCAGGACCTTGGGAAGGAGCAGGACAGAGAGACAGCGTCACTTGAGAAAAGAGGGCCAGCACTCTTTCAGAGTCTGCCCATGAGAGACCCTGATGCCAAGACAGCCCATCTTTCAATTCAGTGTATAACTTCTTTTGGTTCCGAAGAGTTATAGACTTTTTTTCCAGGTACTTTGACCCTGCGGTTATTGCTTATGATTTCAGATGCAGGGGTCAGATCCCATACTGTAAAGCACAAGTGCTGAATTTAACTCTACACATTAAACTTATGTCAGATACCAAGACTTGTCAAAATATGGAGGCGTTGGTCCCCAGCGTAAGATCTCCTCTTCTTATGTCTTTTCTAGTTATCACTGAAACAGTAACCACAAGACTTACCTCCTTACCACCAAGTAAGTGAATGCTTCTTCCCAGTAAGTTGTGTGACGACCCCACACCATAACTTTGCCCAAGGGAGGCTGCTCTCCCAGCGAGCAAGTCCAAAATGTTTGACTTTATTTTCTGTTAACAGCTATACTGAGATTAATGTGTATACCACAGAGTCCACTGGTTTGTAGTCCACTGGTCTTGGAGTGGGTGTGGTTACTGTAGCTACAGAGGGTATAACCATCACCACAGTCTAACGTGACAGCATTTCCATCCCTCCAAAAAAAACTCCTGACAGCAGAAGTCACGGGGCCTTCTCCCCGCCCCTCTCAGCAGCCCCTAGAACCCACTAATCAGCTTTCTGCCTTGATTTGCCTATTCCAGACACCAGACACTGAACTATCCCCCTGACCGTGGAGTAGCTTGACGCCTGTTAAGCTTCCCTTCGCTCCACCTTTCTGCAGGGGCTCTCAGGCTTAGTGGATTCTGTAGTGTATTTTCAAGCCCCCAAAACTACCCCTGCACCTCTCAGGAGGCCTGGCGACCAGGAAGGGGGAGCCCACCCATCAGCAGGCGAGACTGAGCTGTGAGGGGCAGCCAGATGGAGCCCAGAGATGCCACGTGTCCCTCCAACCTCTCTAGCGGCTGCCACATCTGGGCGCTTACCAGGCATCCGCAAAGAGCAAGCCCAGCCCAGGGGCCTGGACTCAAGGAGCTTTTTGTCGTTCTGCTTCTGTGTCTAATATTCGGTTTCCTAGGGAGTAACTCGCTATGCCCCACAGGGGGATCCTTTCTGATCAGTACAATATCCACTCCAGAAACCCATGTCCCAAATACTACAGAGTAGCGGGAGAAGACCCCAGCCAGGAGGGTCCTGGTGAGAAGCCACAGGAGGCTTCTGCTGCACAGGGGGTGAGAGGGTGTCACGACCTGACTCCACCCTGAACTGTCATCTTCTCTGTGGTTCTGACAGAAGGGGGGACCAGCAATGGCTATGCCAAAACGGGCTCTCTCGGTGGAGGGGGCCGGCCAGAGAAGCAAAGCCTGACCCATGGTGGCAGCAGCTACACAAATTCCAGTAAGTACCACCAGGGCAAGCGGCTGGGGGCAGGAAAGACGGACAGACAGGGAGGGAGAACAGGTAGACACGAGCCTGAATCAGTGCAGGCATGGGACCATTATAGCTGTCCGTCTTCTATTCCAAATGCCCCAGTAGCAACCTAATTTTCACAGGACGCAGACCCTGCTGTGAACTGGGCGTGTGAGGGGTCCAGGTTTCATGCTCCTTATGAGAACCTAATCCCAAACTACCTCCTTCCCCGCACCGTCTTGGAAAAGCTGTCTTCCGTGAAACCAGACCCCTGATGCCAGCAAGCTTGGGGAGCCCTGGCTAAATGACACGTGACCCAGGGAGGGTGGAACTTTTAAACCATCAGCATTTGAACCCTGCTTAAAATGGGATGGATTTTCACTGGGTCCCCAGTATAAACTACTCATTCATTAGGAAACCCACCTGAGTAGGAAGCTGTGTTCCCCTGACTCGCTCTCCTAGTCTTATCTTTTAGGAGAAGGTGTGCTGGGTAAGGTCGACAAATTAAATTAACAACAAAAGAAACCTAGCAATCAGGTTAGAGACGGTGGTAATGTGTAATCCCGTGAGGCAAGTGTCCAACGTAGACCCCCTGCTGCCCACGGGATGTTCTTCCAAACAGAAGCAAAACAGAGCAAAGCAAGAAAAAATAACACAAAGTCAAGAGTGCACACATAATCCCTGCAGCCACTGACAAACCCTTATAATGAAGCCACAGGCAAACCCAGGATGTGGGAAGGGCTAGGCTAGCCAAGAGAAGTGCCCCCCTACTGCTGAGGGCCAGTGGGTCGCGTATTCTAGCCCAGCCAAGCAGCGGTCTGCGACTCCGCGTCCGTCCTCGGGAAAACCCTTGCTGTGTTGTGGCTAGGTTGTGCCCTGTAACTGCCTACTGAGGGGCCTCCTGCCTTTCTGCGTCTGCTCGGGAAAGGCAGTGGCCGTGATGCCCCCAGCCCCCTGCAAGGCTCTCCCTTAGTTAAGAGCTGCCTAAATGTGCTTGGTTGCGATGACTGGACTTCAGGGCCACAATGCCATGAGGCTCTACTCCTCCTCCCTTGCAGGTGGAAGCTTACGAGGCAACGCCTCCACTTCCAGTTATAGGAGGGCTCACTCCCCTGCCTCCACCCTGCCCAACTCGCCTGGCTCAACTTTTGAGAGGAAAACCCACGTTGCCCGCCATGGAATGTACGAAGGTACCTACCTGTTCTACAGACCTTGGGGAGAACTACCCTCTCCCCGTGTGCTCCACCTACCCCTGAACACTCACGGACTGGCATCGGGCTTCACTTCCACCCTCATTTCCTTTATAGACTCACATTACTTGAAGATTTTGTTCATTCATCCATCCCATATGCACTCATGCATCCATCCATTTAGTCACTCTTTAAATCAGTATTTCTTCAAACACCTGCTAGGCATTTAACATTGAGTGGAGGGAGGGCCTTGATGGTGCTGAGATGAATCAGACATGAATCTTGTCTTCAAGGAGCCCAGAGTCTGTTAGAAAAGTTAAGGTAACAGATAGGGGGGAAAAAAACCACAAAAAACTATCATGCAGCTAGTTGTGGTGGTGCACACCTGTAATCCTAGCACTCTGGGAGGCTGAGGCAGGAGGACTGACTGTTAGAGCTCAGCCTGGGAAACCTAGAAAGACCCTGTCTTGCAATTTAGAAAGACCCTGTCTCAAAAAAAAAAAAAATCATAGGTGCTTGAGGGTGTAGCTCAGTGTAAAGACCTTGAGTTCAACCCCGAGTATAGGAAAAAAAAAAAGAGGAAGAAGAAGGAGGAAGCGAAAGAGAAGGAGAACAAGAAGAAGGAGAAGGAGAAGGAGGAGGAGGAGAAGAAGGAGAAGGAGGAGGAGGAGGAGAAGGAGAAGGAGGGAAGGAGGAGGAGGAGAAGGAGAAGGAGGAGGAGGAGAAGAAGGAGAAGGAGGAGGAGAGGGAAGGAGGAGGAGGAGGAGAACGAGAAGAAGGAGAAGGAGGAGGAGGAGAAGAAGGAGAAGGCAGAGGAGGAGGAGAAGGAGGAGGAGAAGAAGGAGAAGAAGGAGAAGAAGGAGAAGGAGGAGGAGAAGGAGGAGGAGGAGAAGGAGAAGGAGGAAGAGGAGAAGAAGGAGAAGGAGGAGGAGGAGGAGAAGGAGAAGGAAGAAAGAGAAAAGAAAGGATAAAGCTATAATGCAGAGTAGATGAGATCACCATCTTCAGCTGAAGAAATCATGGAGAATCATGCACAGAGGAGGTGACATCTGAGCTGGGCCTCCCTAATGTGTAAGATGCTGACAGGCAGACGCAGGGCAGTCCAGGCAGGAGAGCCCAGGGCTTGTGCAGGAAGCAGCAGGGGCTTGTGTGTGGCCAGGAACTGGACAGGGCTGCGGTGTAGCTCAGTACAAGCACACGGGAGGGTTCTAGCAAACAAAAAGGACAAGGACAGGGTTTGCAGGACCAGAGTCAATGCTAGGATACGCCGCACACAGCGGGCAGCGCGGAGACTTCTGAGAGAAACAGTGGATCACGTCTGAGGTCCAGGACTAGGAGAAATAGGAGGCTGAGGCTTCAGGCACAGGCTGGGAGACCTGTGCCTGGGAGGTCTGGCTCCACCAGGAGATGGAGTCAACAACTGAGACGGAGGCCTGAGGAGAGGACTCCGCTGGAATGGGTTCAGGTCCTTTGTCCTGAAACCGAGCCACTTGCAAGCTCTGGAGAGAAGGTAGAAGCAGCGGGTGGAGGCATGGGGCTGGAGCTCCGGGAGGAAGTTCAAGCGAGAGCTGAGTTTGGGAGTGGATCACGAAGGGTAGACTGGAAGGCTGCGAAGTTTGTCAGGGAAGAAAGTGTCACAGCAGGAAGACGCAGAGAAGGAAGGCTGGGGAGGAAGGAGAAAGCGGGCCCTGCGAACCAAGAGAGAAGGAAGAGCTGCCGAGGGCGGAGACCAGGGACGCAGCACAGCCTTGAGGAACCGCTCAGGGAAGAGGAGGACGTGGGAGGTACACGGGTTCCAGGACTGAGGCCACTGGGCCCCAGGTCGCGCAGGAGCAGTTCTAGTGGGAAGCGGCCAGACGGAAAGTGAGATTAGCAGTGAAAGGAGAGGGGCACTAGCGAGGGGAGCAGGATTAAGGGGCTGATCTAGTAAATGGTGAGAGTGGGCTGGAGGCTCCACACGCAGAGGCCGGCCTGCTGCTGCGCGATGGGAGTTGCCAGGGCGGCCCAAGTTCCGGCCAGGTGAACTTCAGCCCACAGTGCTATCTCCCCGCTCCTTGTCCCCCTCCTGCTCCTTCCCCTTGTCCTGCTCCTTCCTCTTCCTCTTCTTCCTCCGCTGGGCTACGTCCCCAGCCCTCCTCAGTGCTTTCTGACACTAGGCCTGAGCCTGTCATTTCAACAGGGTCCACTTTCAGAAACAAGCATCTCGAGGTCAGAGAATGGAGGTGTCCTGTTCTAAATCATGAGCCTGATTCATTCCAAATGTCGGCTCATCCCCCCACCCCCGAAATGCCTCCAGGCTGTGAAGAAGTGGCTGGAGTTGTGCTAAGTGTTTCATCCCTTTCTCCAGGGAGCTCCAGTGGCAACTCCTCCCCGGAGTACCCTCGGAAGGAGTTCGGTATGTTCTCCCCTCGCTCTCGAAGGACAAGCTCTGGCACTAAGGGAACGCCTGGGGCTGGGGTGGTGGGCAGGAAGCACTGTGAGCTAACTGGACGCAGCTACAGGAGTTGACCTCTGTCCACTCACGTGTTCCTTGTTCCTCAGCGCAAAGGGGCTGTCAGCCGTATTAACGTGCTGCCATAAGCATTCGCTCACAGCACTGTACAAATGCAAGCTGTTGAAGATTCACGATTGGGTAGATACACCGCTGAGATCAAGCAATCATTCCTGGGATTCTCCCTTCCATGACAGGCATAGGAACCTGCCAGCAAAGAGGCGCAAAGCAACGAATGCCTCAGCCTAGCTTGCTTCCGAGAGCAGCAGCACAGCCTAGTGAGCCCTAGGCCGAGTCTTCACTTGGCCTTCAGTCTTTGGCCCATATTCCTGGGAGCTCACTGTGCTCATGAATTGCGGCTGTGGCCACTGATTCTACAGTGATTATTTTATTTCGTTGCTTACACTTGAAAACCAAGGCAGGCTCTAGTAAACGTACCAAAGGGACGACTTGACAGCCTTTGGATCCATTTGGTCAGTGTTGTCAGCCAGTGCAAATGGATCATGCTCCCAAGTGGACTGCCTTAGGTAACAGTGCTGTCCGCTAACTTGACATTCGTTTAGCTAAGTGAACGTCTTACGTGCACTGGGGTACACAGGACACGCTCTGCCCTTTAGCTATGTAGTCACCGTTTATTGCCACGTGGTCATCATTTATTCAGCATCTGCTGCGCAGAATTAGCCTCTCGCTGGATTTACACACAATAAGAAAATACCCCCCCATATTTACCTTCACGTCAGCACACCTCTTCCTATGTACGTCTAAAACGACATTTATCTCTTTCTCAGCATCTTCTGCAACCCGAGGACGGAGCCAAACGCGAGGTGAGCACTGTGGCTGGGTTCACTTCCACTCACTCCATCAGCATTTCCTGGGCAGTTCCTCAGCATTTCCTGAGCCAGGAAATATGAGGTGCACAGAACAATGCCCGGCTCCTGCCATCAGCTGCACACTGTCGGCTTGGGGTTCTCACGCCTGAGACCACAGAGGCAGGAGAGAAACTTGGTCTTGCCATTGTGGAGTGAACGGCGGCAAAGGGAACGGTCACTGCGGAGTGTGACGCAGCCCCTTTGCTCAGCTGAGACTTCATGAGGAGGTCTCAGGTGCCTGAGATGGACAGGCATGGTGAGGGAGGGGAGGGGCCCTCCCTTTCTTTAGTGGCACTCCTCTTAGGACATCTAGGCTTCCTGCTCTTGGGACACAGACATCTCAGAGCAGCCCCGAGCTGCTCAGAGTTCAGTGTCAGGAACTGTAGTCACAGCCTGTGTGTCTCTTCCCTTGTACAGAGAGCGAAATTCGAGTACGGTTGCAGAGTGCATCGCCATCTACCAGATGTAAGTGTCAACGGCTTGCTGCAAAGATCTGGGAAGCCTTGGAATTAAATCACGCATGAATGCTGTGTACTACTTAGGAGTTATGGACTAGTGCTGTGTGCCTGTGTGTGTGTGCACATGCATGTGTGTGTGTGAGCATGCTCACATGTGCATGCGCTCGATCATAAAGCATCTGTAAGGGGCTTCCGTGACTTAGCCCCTGTGCTCGGAGCTGGGGATTAGTTGCGTGTCCTTGCTGCTTAGCAGCTCACAGGCTAACGTGGAGAAGGCGAACCAGCTAACCTTCACGGCTCAGTGGCGAAGGGGCATGGAGGAGCAGCTGCACATCAGCCTATGGAGACGGGGACAGGCGCAGGGGCCAGAGTGGCCTTCCTGGGTGAGGTGTCAGCTGAGAAGCGGAGCTGAGGATGCAACCGGGATGGGAATCTGAGGACAGTTCAGGATGGGGGCACAATGGGAGAGCTCAGGCTGGACAGGGCCAGAAGTAGACGAGGGAAGCTTTAACTTCATCTCCAAGGTCAAAGACTTCCCGGCCTCTCCGCATTAGGTATTAGACTATTGTTGCTCTTTTAAGAGGTTATTTGGCAACATTTTGAAAGGAACCCAACTGTTAGCGGGGCACCAAGTACAAGGAATAGAAGGCCGAGCCAGGCTGGTGGCTGTGGACACAGAAACAGGAGGTGACCCGCAGAACTCAGCGGCCGGGGAGGTGGGCCCTGGCTCCGGGCCTGGTACTTTCTCATCTGAGTCCTTCCAGGCTCAGGGGGGTGGAGCCCAAAGGATGGAGTTTTCAGGGGGCCCGGGGAAGGAGCCTGGGAGTCCCCAGCAAGCACTCTCTGCAAGTCTGCTTGACTCCTCCTGCAGGCTGCCCTTGTACAGTGCCTCCCTCCTGTCATGTTTCCCACTCTGAAGGAGGTACAAGGAGCACGTTCCCTAGTTCACCTTGCTGCACATACTATCAGCTGGATGAACCTGAAATTCAACCGCACACAAAAGCAGCACAATGTCCAGGGCTTACATGCCACAAACTCCTTTCGACACTCCTAGGCATGCAAGGTCAGGACCTGACAGCCGAGGCGTCCTGTGCAGGGGATTGGGATACCACATGTTCCAAGGGACCTGGTTTTCTCACTGCCTGGCCCCAGGTGACAGCCACAAAAGCATCCCTGTGGTGTCTGTGGAGGACAAATGCTTTGACCTCTCCCATGAAGTATTATATGGATGAATCTGTGATATTATCAAGGGCCAGGCTGATAAATGTTATAATTAGCAAAACGTGAAATTATAAAGCTAATCAAAAATGCCTCAATGTGTGAAGCAGATGGCGTCCTCCGCAGTACTCAGGATGCCATCGAGGTTCCCCTCACTGCAGTTACACTCAAGAAAGAGCCTGGGCCTGATGGGAAGGTTTGGGGATTCTTCCGCAGGGACAGAGTTGGATGATGTCAAGCGTTTGCTCAAGGGCAGCCGATCCGCAAGTGCCAGTCCCACCCGGAACTCGTCCAACACACTCCCCATCCCCAAGAAAGGCACCGTGGAGACCAAAGTAGTGACAGCGAGCTCTCAGTCAGGTAAGCCCCAGCCAGGCTGCTGGAGGGGTGGGAAGAAGGTGGTAGATTTGCCCTGGCTGGGAATCCAGCTGTGCCCTGGAAACCTTCCAGGCTCCACCAGAGACTTCCAGAACTGGGGAGAAAGGGCTTAGAAGGAGAAATGGGTGAACCCCAAGACAAGAGTAACCCACTTTTCCTGCCGCATGAACACGAGATCTCTGTGCCTCTCACCCACGCAGTAAACGGCCTCACACGCGTGCAGGCGCCCAGCTCCATATCCCAGGACTCTGCCCCGGTGGGCTCTGGACAGTCAGGCGTGTGGGCCAGGCTCCCTGGCCTGAAGAGTACTAGGGAAAGTTGAGTGTTTTCACTCACTCTCTAATGAGTATTTCCTACTTGCCTCTTCTGTGTCCAGCGCCAGGCATTGAGGGAAAGCAATGGACAAGACAGAGGTAGCCACAGGCCTCCTGGTGATGGGGTCTCTGTGGGACGTGGAACAGGAAGCCAAGAGCCGGTCAAGCAGGATGAGTGGTGTTCAGCACCTATATGTCAAGTGCTTACCAGGTGCGAGGGAGGTTCTGCGGGTGCAGGAAGACAAATTAGCAGAGCGTTGCAGGGAGGAGAGGGAAATCGACCGCGTTATTTCTGACGCGCAGCTTTCCTCGCATTCACTCCTAGGAGAAATCAACAGGTCCAACCTTCTTTGTGCTTTTCCTATAAAGCCAAGCCTTGGGGTGCTTTCTCACTGGCTGGCTGGCTCCCTCTCATGGAGCGAGTGGGCAGCACTGGCATCAGATTTGGAGACGCACAGGAAGCCCTCAAGGGCAGAGCACCTTTTGGGTTAGGGGTGTCATGCAGGAGGTATGCAGTGTGGCCTCAGACTTGAGGGCTGTCCTGCCGGACACTCCCACACTTGTCATGATGCCTGGAATTCTATCAGATTTTTGATTTGGGGGTCTCAAGAGAGCTGCTCCTTGGCATCCCTGCAGATGGAGGAGCCAGCAAAAGGGAGGACTTTCCATCAGGAGTGTCTAGATCTCAGCAGCTTAGATCTACTTGGAATTTCACCAAGCGCTGGCAAGAATTTCCAATCCAAGAGATCGGGTTTTCACCAGCTCCAATATTTCAGTCAAAAAAGGGATGATGAGCTGCCCTGGCTGTGCTGGGCCAGGGGAATTGCTGGGATGAGGGAAAACCAGGGCTAAAAGCAGGGAAGTCCCAGGAAGCCACGCCACTAAGTTCTCCCAGCAGGAAAGTGTGGACTCGTCCCTCACTGACAAGTGCTCACATTTCTGTTTCCAGTGTCGGGCACCTACAACACCACTATCCTGGATGCCAACCTGCCCTCCCACATGTGGTCCTCCACCTTGCCTGCGGGGTCCTCCATGGGGACCTATCACAACAACATGACAACCCAGAGCTCCTCCCTCCTCAACACCAATGCCTACTCAGCAGGATCAGGTAGGTGGCAGACGGGGTGCTCCTTCTCGCCTACATCATCAAAATCGCCACACCTCTGCCCTGGAGCTGAATGACCCGTTGGGCATTTGCCATCCGCGGGGCAAATGGGGAAGTTTTCTACAACCAAGCATCCCAAGAGCCTCCCACTGGAACTTCAGGTTAAGGCTGTCTAGAAGGTGTTTCTTCCCATGGATGCCCTGTAGAAAGGAGTACAGTAGCGGGGACCAGGAAGAATACAACGGGAAGAAACGCTGAAAGGATGCTAGGGATCTGTGGGACCTTGAGCAAGTCGTGCAACTTCTTAGAGCTCCAGGGCCCTTCTGCACCCAGTGGGGTCAAAACAAGAGCACCTCTAATGGACCCACTTTCCACCACTGACTAAAGTTCGCCTGCTGGCTGGGACCTAACAGCCTAATGTTTGGTTCTCCACTGCCGGGTGCCAGAAGTGAACATGAAATGTTACCAAAACACAAAAATGTAGGCAGATGTGAGAATCCAACCCCGCTCACCCACCTTGCCTCTCCCCTGCAGTCTTTGGAGTCCCGAACAACCTGGCACCCTGCTCCTCAACCCTGCAGCCCGGACTCAGCTCCTGCTCCTCAGGTCGGTATTGCCACCCTGAATCGCCTTTTCCACGCCGCTGGCGCACAAGGACACAGGCGCTCGTCCCAGGGAGGGAAGTGGAATGACAGCTAGGGCTGTCCTTTCTGCCCGCAAGCAGGAAGGACTTCACCATGCACTGTGACCAGAGGCCAAGGCCACAGCATTCAGCGGCCCGATCAGACACGACCCCAGACCCCACGGGAAGCACCAAGGAGAGGGCCTCGCCTGCCAGCAAGCCGCTTCTGTGCCGGCGCCTTCCTTTCCTAGGAGAGCTGGAGAGACGAAGTAAAGGGGCGTAGTGAGCGCAAGACATTTTCAAGGAGAATAGCGCTAACTTATTTCAGATCTTTCTATAAATACAGCAGCTCCCTGGGGTACCTACATAAGGAAGATAGCATTACTGTTTAGCTTCCAGTGCAAACTTAGAGCTATTTAAAAGAAATATTTATTCACTGTTTCCACATAGGTCGTAATAGTTCATATGGAAATAAATTACCAGGCACATATTTTTTTTAAAAAATTTACATTCTTCCTGTCGTATTGCAGCTAATAAATATAACGACCCGGGCCCTTCTTTGTCTACTTGGCTGGTATCCCTGCAAGTGCAAATTTAGCAATACTAGAGGCCCACAAAACCCAGAAACCCCTGGCTTCACGCTTGCCGTCTTCCACCCTCCTGTTATGTTGTACGAAGTTCTGACTGAGCCAGGCCCGAGGACAGGCTGGGCTGATGGTGGAAGCAGGATCTGTGTCCCAAACACTCAGTAGGATGGAGTAGCGGAAGCTGAGGTGAAGGAGGAAGGGGTTTCCAGTGCTGTTAATGAATAAACACGCAGCCTTGGAAAGGATAATGGGGGGAAGGGGAGTTTTACGTATTTGACTCAGGAGAAAGAGTTGTAGGGAAAACCAGGAGTTGGTCAAGTTAGACACACAGTCCCAGTGTGTCTGTGTGTGTCCAGCACAGCGAGCACCAAATCGCCCCAGGGTGCTGTGGGGAACAGGAAGCACCTGGGATATTTCAGGGTGTCCAGGGATGCAGCAACACCTACATCCCCGGGTGAACTACATTTGCTATTTGTGCGGTCCCAGCTCCTCAACAAAAGGAACCGGTGGGGAGGTGGAGGCATACAAACATTTACTGTGTCACGAACAGCTTGGAGACAAGGCAGACTGGAAACCTGTTATCTGCGAAGTTATTTGTCACAAAAGTGGTTTGGGGGCTTCGGGAGGTGGCCTGCGTCTAGGAGGGGGACATCTTGCGTGGACCTGTTCTCACCTGCTCTCGATCCTTCTCACAGTGTTTGGGGTACAGAACAACCTGGCTCCCAGCTCGACTGCTCTGTCCCATGGCACAGCCACCGCTTCTGCAGGTTGGTAGCCCAGGTTTAGTTTAAGGGCTGGGAAGTGGCACCTCTTTGAGGCTGTAACTCTCAATAGCCTTTGCAGCAACTCGATTAGAAGGGCCCAAAGGCTCCTGAAAAGCCACTGGTCTTTCCGCTAAACAGCCCCCTCCCCCAACCTAGAGATGGAGACCTTGACCATCTGAGGGTCTGACATGAGTTAAACACACAGAGGCGCCTGTTCCATCAATGGCATCTACGCCCTGTGACACGTCACCTGCACATCCTGTGGATCTCACAGCCCCCTGGCCAGCCTGGTGGTCCCTCCAGCCCACAACTTTCTCCTCCTGCACAGTCCTCTGTCTCTACAAATCAACCCACTGGTTGATTTTATGATGAACCCTTATGCAAAGCTGGAAGTTGGGGTAGGGATGAAAGAGACATAAGCCTCGGCCTTTGCCTTCAACGTGCCTACTGTTTAGTTGAAGTAGAAAGTCTAACACACATGAAACAGCGACAAGAAAGAAGCAACACGCTGTGCAGCGTGGATATGCAGAGAGAAGGGATGGACTGAGGTCGAAGAGGACTTCTTAAAGGAGGGGTGGCCTTTGGAAAGTTCTAGAAAGATGAGCATGATTATATCCAAGAATATTCCATCTAAGCCCTCTTTGCTGCCCCAGTGGCTGGAGAAAGTTAAGTCTGTTGCTTGCTCCTCACCTGGGGAGGCCACCTGTCTGCAGGGCTGATTAGCTGCTCAGAGCTGCAGAAGCCTTCCTCATGCTGGTGAGCCCACTCTGTGGTTCTTCTCCTGCAGCATACGGTGTGAAGAAAAATGTGTCCCAGACCCCTGCTGTTGTGAGCACCAGCATGTCCACCACCTCCACCGGTGAGTCCTGCTCTCCTCTGCCAGGGATTGGGCCAGCACCCGGGATTGCCCAGCTGTGACCCAAGGGGTACTGGGGAGAGGATAGAACCCATGCACGGTCTGAGGTCCACAAACACAATTCACCCCAAAGGTCTCTTGGATGTTTCTGTGAACACACAAAGATAAGAATGCGCTGAACTTACCGTGGCCCTCCCTACCCAAGGGGCAGAAGACCCCGCCCACCACACCTGCTCAGAATCTGCATTTACCCTCCAGCCACCCCTGGTCTGCAGTTCTTTCACCTTCTCCTGTTACATGTAACCCACCATAAGAACCAGGGAGCCCCTCAGAAACTGCCAGAACCCTCCCTGCTTTCTACAGGATCTTTATCAACTCGGGTTCATGCCACACCCCGAGCCACTTTCTCCATTGCTCTGACCCTGGTGCTGCTTCTGCTCAGCAGTCATTAATGTGTTTAAAAAGTACCAAGCGCTTACTTTGTATAAGACGGACCCTGTTCAGAGTGTTGGGAGTAGCAGTGGTGACAGCTGGTAGACTCCTGCCCTCAGCAAACCAATGACTCCAGTGGAGTAGGCAGATGACAAACATAAAGACAGAATGTACAAGATAATTGCAGAAAATGGCAGAGATTCTAAGGAAACGGTAGTGCATATATGGAGAGGGGGACATGGTCAGGGAGAGCCTCCTCAAGAAGGCAGACAACTCACCACACTAGTTAAAGGACCTGCCTGGCTGTAGTCGCCCATTTGGTAAAGATCCCATGTGTCTGGGTGGGGTAGCTGACCAATGACCGCTTGCCTGACACTTCTGTCATTGACCCAAGCTCCTGAGGGCCAGGCCCATCCAGGGAGGGAGAAGTAGTCTCCAAGAAGCTTCACAGTTCCACTGCTGGGGACAACAGGAGACCCTCGCGAGCGTTCACTGATCTCTTTTCCTCCTTCTCCCCCCTGTTCTGGTCACTGCTTCCTTCTTCCCTCTCTCGTCGCATTTTCCTTCCCCTTCCCGGGCCTCTTTCCTCCCCAGCCTGCACCACCAACATCCAAAGCGATGACAGCTTGCACAAGGACTGCAAGTTCCTGATCCTGGAGAAAGACAACGTGCCCTCCAAGAAGGAGATGGAGCTGCTGATCATGACCAAGGACAGCGGGAAGGTCTTTACCGCCTCCCCCGCCAGCATTGCCGCAAGTATGCCAGAGCCCTGCGCCTCGGGCTGCGGAAGAAAGGCTAATGTGCAGGAGGCCAAAGGCCCTAGCAAAGTGGTCTGAGGAGATTTCGTCATGAACCCAGGGCTCTTCTAGTGAAAAATGCCTGCGCTACTAGTGTCCCAGGGGCTGCCTGAGTGCAGAAGAGCCATGGAAACTCAGAGAGTTTCCAGAGAGTTCTCTGGGCAACAGCAGGTCTAACCACAAGCGCAGATGGGGGAGACCAGCCCCGCAAGAGCAGGGCTTTCTTCGTATCCGGCAAGCCTGACCTCTCCAGGCAGCCAGGGGACGGGAGCAGGTTGGGAGTTCGGGAGAGAACACATCAGGTCATCGCGGGTTCTGTGCACAGCTTCTTTTTCAGAAGACACGCTGAAAAAAGAAAAGGAGGCTGCCTACACTGCTGACACCTGCCTACAAGCGGAAGCCAATGGTAAGAGCAAACCCGACCACGGCCCACTTGACCTCAGCCACGCCACGTTTCCTTCCTTCGCCTCCTGAGCCCTTGCTGCTCAGCATGGCCCACAAACCAGCACAGTGCCCGCCTCCCGGACCTGCTGCATGGGGAGCTGCGTTTGAACAACTCCCCGGGAGATTCTGGGCGCGCGAGGCCTTCCTCCGGCCTGGCACGGTGACACCCTTTCGCTGTTAGCCCTCCCTTCACGTTCAAAAGGAGTAGAAAAGTGCCTTGCAAAGAGAGTATTGTTAGCTTTATTCTTTTTCTTCCCAAATATATGTCTTGGTAAACACATTTCCTCACAAAATCCTGCAGCTTCTCTCCAAACAACTGATTTCAGGGAGGTCAGTAAAGGAAGGGAAAGGTCAAGTGATAGACCAAGTTAAAGTAAACGCAAATTAAGTCAGTTACCACTCTGACTAGTGAAGAGGCTAGACCCTGACTCTGAATCGACAAGGTTAGCACTTCCTCACATTTTAGGGGTGGAGCCAAGCCTATGAAGTCAGAAAACACTTTTTGGAATATGATGAAAGAAGTTAGGCAGGGCGTGGTGGTGCACGCCTGTAATCCCAGCACTCCAGAGGCTGAAACAAGAGGATCATTATGAGTTTGAGGCCAGCCTGGGCTACAAAGTGAGCTCAAGTTCAGCCTGAACTGCATAGCAAGACCCTGTCTCAAAAAGGACAAAAAAAAGAAAACAATTGACAAAGAAATTGACAAACTCACAGAAAATTCCACACATGCCCACAAATCCTCAAGTAGCATCACAGACTCAGGAACAGCCTCTCCAAGCCTGTCCTTGCCAAACATTCTCGGTTCCCTCCACCTGTGGAGAAAGACACTGCACCCTCGAGGAAGGAGGTGCAGCTGCTTATCATGACTGTGACCTGTGCTCAGAGTCCCTTAGCCAAGAGAGCGGAGTCAGGGCTGGGCGTGTGGCTCAGGGCAGAGCGTGTACTTCGTGTTCAGGAGGCCCTGCGTTCAATCCCCAGCACCAAAAGAAGAAAATTGTCGGAGTCATTTGTCATAAGCAAGCTTATTGTTTGAATGTAACTATCACCCCTGACATGATCTTCCGAAATACTGACGCTTCGAGGTCTGAGGCTGCGAGAGAGTTTAAAGGCTGTACTTTCTCCCCTTGTTACTTGTGGCCAAGCCATGTCTTCATGGCTGCAGTCATTGCAAATATCAGATTCCAAGGACTGAGTGCTTGCTGCTCTGCAAGGTGCCTCGGGAGTAAATTTATCCCCAGAATCGATGCGAGGGGCAGGACAACACCTCAGGTCCAAACCCCTACTTGTCCTTTCAGGAGATGTGAAGGCTGCGTCCACCAAGGGCAAGTCTGCCTCCAAAGGTGAGTGAGCAGGGCCCCAGGTGACAGGCCCCGGGGGGCGGGGGTGGTTGGGTAGCAGGATGCCCCTTGCCTGGTGCCGTGCACATGGGAACCACCAGCTGCGGCTCCCTGAAGGCCCAGAACGGAGTAGGGTGGACAGGAGCGGGCGGCTGTGGGCTAGAGGTGGCCTCGGAAGGAGCCCAGCTCATGGGATGGCGCTTTATGGGCCCTGCTCCTCTTACCTGGCAGCCTCTGAAGTCCTAAGTCCCAAGGTGTCCTGCTGGGGCAGGAGCAACACACCAGGGCCTCCCTGGGGGGCCCAAGGTGGCACGGAGCCCTCACGGTCCTGCTCTCCCCCCCCTGTGCTGTGACAGGAGCCGTGCATCTTACCACCTCACTGTCTTTGAACCGCAGACCCCGTTCTTCAGACCAACTTTTTAGACTTACTGGTACTGCTAAGTCCTGAGTGTGACTCCAGCTGCCGTGAGCACGCAAAGCCTGAGCCATGCCAAGCAGGGAAGGCCGTGGGAAGGCTTCTGGGTCAGGCGTGCCTGGAGGCAGGAGGTTGTGCAGATCAGTGGAACGCTGTGCTCACAGTGAGGAAGGTTTTAAGCCTGTGCCATGTGCCACGTCCTAGCAGATGACAAAGCTTACCTCATTTAACTCAGTCACTGTCCTACGAAGTAGATCATCTCAGCACCCTTTCAAGGGCAAGTGACCTCGTCAAGGTCACACAGCTCGAGTCCAGGATGGTCGGATGCCTGCTCCTCACCAGCCACTGCTGCTTGCACAGAGATGTGCAGAAACTTAAAAGCCCCCTCCCGGCACTCAGGCCACAGGAAGTCACCCGAAACCGGGAATTTGGAGGGAAAAGGACAGAGGTGCCTGACCACAGCTTCCCTGCCCTGTCTTTCCTACAGAAATCCACAGTTATGACCACTTCAGTGGAGGCGGCAGTGGAGGCGGCAGTGGCAGCGGTGGGGGACCGTGGGGGGCCGCGCCCGCCTGGTGCCCCTGTGGCTCCTGCTGCAGCTGGTGGAAGTGGCTGCTGGGCCTGCTGCTCACCTGGCTGCTGCTCCTGGGGCTGCTCTTTGGCCTCATTGCTCTGGGTAGGTGCAAAGGTCACAGGGCCGGCTGTGTGGTGGGAAGCAGGACATGCCCAAGCCCACTGCCCTGTCGGAAGGCAGGCCTTGGCCAGAGGTCACAGAGTTGGGGCCAAGGGGCCTGAGATCATGGATGCAAACCCCACATTGCTGCAGATGAGGAAGCTGAGGCGGGAGGCACTTGGCCCAGGGCCCGTGGCCTCCAAGTGTGGAGCTGGGATGCAAAGGCAGCCCTGGTCCCACCTGCCCTCTGTGCACTGTGGCTGCCCGGAGCTGTCTGCTTGGGCCTTCCCTGGCCCTTTGGCTTTTCAGCTTTTCCAACAGAGGGAGGGTGAGATTTGTCCCCACTTTAGACGACAGGACTGAGGCCCAAGCAGTGCCCGAAAGGGTGACGACAGAGCAGCCCTGCTCCACATACGTGGCCGGCAGAGTGGGCTCAGCGGCATGGGAAGCTGCGCAGACCAGGGCCCACGCCAGCCTCCCCAGGAGAGTGTCCCCAGGGCGAAGGACGGGGCTCTCGCTGACGGGGCCATGTCTGTCTGTGGTCCATCCACAGCGGAGGACGTGAGGAAGCTGAAGGCCCGTGTGGACGAGCTCGAGAGGAGCCGGGGTGGCGTACTTTACTACGAGGACAAGATGGAGAGGGGCCACAGGGAGCGCCTGCAAGGGGCCACGCCCGGTGAGGGGGCCGGCGCAGGCAAGGCCGGATTCGATGGTGGCTTCAGCCAGGAGGAGCTGTGGGTGTTCGTGAGGAACAAGCTGATGCTGGAGCAGGAGAAGGGTGAGTGCGTGCCGGCTGCAGGCCTGGCTCACCCCGGGGACACCGCTCAGCCACCCGCGGCCTCCCTCCCACTCCCAACCTCTTCACAGCCCCCAGAGGCAGGGAGCGCCGACACGGGGACCCCGTGTGACTGTGGGAAAACTCAGCCCTGGCGAGGACACTTGCCCAAGACAAGGCACAAGCCCGACCCCTTGTGCAGCCTCGGTTTCTCCCCTGTGCGTGTGAGGGTCGGAAGACGTGACAGCGTGTACTTTCTCTTGCAGGAAACCTCCGAGGAAGCCCTGGCCCTAAAGGTACTGCAGCAAATTGAGCCCTTTCCTGCTCTTGTTCCTGCCGTGGGAGGCGGCGCTCTGCGTGGAGTGGGAAACATTTTCTGCTTCTTCCCAGTGGAAGGATGAGAAGCTGAGCCACCGCCCTGGAGGGCTGAGCCCGGGCTTTAGGGTCAGAAGATCTTAGCATGGGGAAGGACTTGGTGACATCCAGGATAGGCTCAGTGACCTCCCCGAGTGCCACATACAGGAGCAGAGGGACCACACTTGTGTCCCCTTGACATACGGCTCGCGTACTGTCACACAGCTGTGAGGTCCGTGGCGAGAAGAGCCCTTGGGTTCTGTGCCTCTCATCTCTGCATTTCTTTCTGATTTTAGGTGACATGGGAATTCAAGGTCCAAAAGGTAAATACAACATGGACATTTTCGCTTTATTTTTATGTTTTTTGTTAGTACATGCTTACGTTTGTTATGTGGCGTTGGCTCGTGTGCAAAGCACATCTTCACTCCGTTTCTCGTCCTCCTCCCGTCCTCCCTCCAACTCTCGGTCCCTTTCCCCGCTAAGAAAGATCTAGCAGGGTTTAAAGTGGGGGCGTCAACCCTGGGGTGGGGACCAGCACTGGCCCTGAGCCGGTAAGGAGCCACCTGCACAAAGCGGAAACAAGCAAAGCTCCGCCTGTGCTTACAGCCGCCGCCCATCCTCCCCGTCCCTGGGCTCACAGCCTGGGCTCCAGCTCCTGTCAGATCAGGAGGAGGAGCAGGCGTCCAACCCTGAGGGCCCCACTGGACACAGGGATGTTCTCCTGGCCCTGCCTAGCTGGGCTGGACAAGCTCCAGTGTGTACAGAAACGGCTAGAACCTCCCTTCCAGGGCCCAGATTCAGTAGATTTGGCTGAGGCCAGGAGTCTGCGGCCTTAGTCACCCCAGGTCACTCCGTGGCCAGGACGCACGTCCGCACAGAACCACCTCTTGCCACGACGTGGTCACCCTTTGCTCCCTACTCCCCTTGCTTCCCCCTAGGTCCCAGCACAGGAATTGGGCTCCCCCACTTAAGGACCCTCCATTTCTCCTCATTCCCTGCCCGCAGCCCATACTCCTTGAGACCCAGCTAGGGACCAGAACTGATGGTTCTAAGCCCCTGAAGCTGCTGTTGTCGAGTGAAATACAGCACCCCCAGTTACACGTGAATTGCGGATGTGTCCATAAGTACTCACTAAGAGTATATCCCAAAGAGTTTATGGGACATAATTATACTAAAAATGTATTTTTGTTTATCTGCAACCCAAATGTACCTGGACATTGTATTTTCATTTGCTAACTTGGCAGCCCTAACCTGATTCCCCCCAAGAACTGGGCAGGGGCCTCTGGCTGACAGGTCTTTACCTTTGTTCCCGCAGGAGACCGAGGCCTTCCTGGGACTCCAGGTTTGTAACCCCGGATGTTCTGGTGCTACTGGTCCACAGAGGCTCCATCGTGGCTGCCGGCCTCCAGAAGGAATAGGGGCTGAGGTCTTCTTGTGTGTCCACAGGTATCATTGGGCCCTTGGGCCACCCCGGCCCAGAAGGACCAAAAGGACAAAAAGGCAGTGTGGGTAAGAGCCAAATTTTCCATTCGTTCACCCCCTCACTCGTTCATTCAGGAGACATTTATTGCGGGTCTGCTGCGTGCCAAGCCCTGCTTTAGGAGACAGCCCAGGACCCCAGCAGCAAAACCCCTGCTGCCCATGGAGCTGACACGTGGGCGGGGGAAGCGTGGGAAACAAGCGAAATCTCAGCAGGCCAGAGGGTGATGTCTGATCTGAGAAAGACAGGGCCTGGAGGACCCCAAGAGACAGTGGGGCTCAACAGAGGGCAGGGAGCAGAGATGAAGACAGAGGGAGGGGGTCAGGGAAGGCCCCAGGCCAGCATTCTGCTGCGGAGGTGCATGGCTGTGGCATGGGACCCTAACTGTGAAGCTGGTCGTTCTTGTCTTTAGGAGACCCTGGTATGGAAGGACCCATGGGCCAGAGAGGGCGAGAAGGTCCCATGGGACCTCGTGGTGAACCAGGGCCTCCTGGATTTGGGGAGAAAGGAGACAGAGGTAAGAGGCAATTCCTTCATCAGGACGGTTAGCTGTGTTGATATATATATAATTTTCCATGAAGTCTGGAACCTAGGAGGCGCTCAGTAAATGCTGGCTGCCTGGACGAGCGATACTTTTAAGAGAAAAGTAAGACTAAAAGTAAAGCTTTGGCACTAGAGGATTTTAGGCGCCCACCTTGGTTTCCTCTGATAAAAACAGGCCTGTATGGTGAAGGATCTAATTGCAAACCCGAACCCTAACCCTCCAGTGCTGCGTCTGCACCTGGGGCTCTCCTGCCTCCCTCCCCGCGGGGTCCTGTACCCCACCTCACTCCCCAACAAGCTGCCCTGCCTCTGCTGTCCACTTGGCTTTGCTTGGCTCACCGAACCTCTCTCTTTGAGTTCCAAGCGTTACATATCCATCATCTGTCCACTGTTGCCACAGGGGCCCCAGGGCCTGCCGGGGAGCCCAGCTCAAGGAAAGCAGTCGACAAATGCTCCTGGAGCTGGGTGGGAGGGAAACTGAGGGGGCTAGGTGTCTCGGTAATCAGTGGCTTCACCAAAGTGGGTCCACAGCCGTGGCAGGGTGGGAAGCATCTCCTCCACGTGGCACTGCTGGCCTAGGGACAGCCGGGTAGGGGGACTCTCTCAAAGTGCTCCCTCCTCCATTTCTCCTCAGGGGCTGCTGGCCAACCAGGTCCTCAGGGTCCTCCTGGTGTCCCAGGTTCTGTGGGTTCCAAAGGTAGGTCAAGGGCCCAGGACAGGATGCAGACTTGCCAGGGAGAGCCACATCCCCAACAGCTGGCAGAGACATGGGGATCCTCGAGTGCCTGGGGCTGTGGGTCCACAGTGCTCCCCCACTCTGTGGAGCCCCTGAGGGTCAAGATGGGGACTGCAACTTTGGCCCCGTGGTAGGGCCAGGTCCCTTCCCGTTCTCTCTCCAGTGGCCAAAGTGTGTGGTCCCTAGGTGGGTGGATCGTACAGGACATCAGAGTCAGACAGTTTTCCCTGCTGCTGGGGCTCCCGGATGTGCACACGGAAGCCACATGTCTGGGCAGCCAGGAGGATGGGCCGTTTCTCACAGTGTGATGCCTATCTGGCCACCTCCCCCACCCCCCGACCCATGCCCCAGCCCGACCAGGAAGATACCAGAGTCCCGCAGCCTCGTTCCTGAGGAGGGCATTGTATGGGGTCACTGCTGGACCCTCTGACACGGGGTCCGGGCAAGCACCTGCCCTGGGAACAATGCACACCCACACAGTCCTCACCCACAAGTGAGCTCCCGCCAACCACACCTGCCCATCACCCTGGGCCCCATGACCCTAGCCAGTACCTGACCCTCCGCCAATCATCTCTTCTCCTTCTCAGGGTCCAGTGGCTCTCCTGGCCCCCAGGGGCCCCCAGGTCAGTATGCCGCCCTTGGAAATAGGTGCTGTTTTTCAGGGACAGAAAGGAGGGGTGTTAAAAGGAAAACCAAACCTTCAAAACAAAGGAAGCGATTACAGAGAGCTCCTGGAGACACATAAGTCCGCAGGAGTCTCCCCTGTAGCTGAGCTCTGGTGGGTCCTGTCCAGGTTCCAGTCTGAGCTGGTGTGGGGCACAAGGTCCCCAACAGCTTCAGCAATAGGCAGTTCACGTCCTGCCTGCATCTAAGCCGCTGCCTGCCCCTGCCTTGTGCCCTGTGGGCCAAAGAGCTCATCCTGCTGCCCTGAGAATAGTGAGCTGCCTCAGCGTCTCTGCCGGGGTCGTGGGAGGTGTTCTAACGCCAAAGCCCATGATCAGCGGGGCCAAGGAACCTGGACTGGGGTGGCTCCACACGAGTTCACAGAAAGCAGCCTCTGACTTTGGCTGCGGGGTGTGTGTGCCAGGGAGGTGTGTGTGCCAGGGTGGTATATGTACGTGAGCGTGTGTGTGTGTGTGTGTGTGTGTGTGTACAAGCACACACAGGTGTGTCTGCTCCCTCTGAGGATGGGACACTCATCCACCTGTATGCTTTCCCCTGGTGAGCAGGCCTGACTGGTCTCCAAGGGCTCCGAGGTGAAGTAGGACTTCCTGGTGTGAAAGGTGAGCTGGGGGAGGGCCTGGGGAAGAGCAGGTCGCCCTGTGGATGCTCCGTGTTCAAGAAGGAGGCCCGGGGGACCGGGAGTGGCTGACAGACACGACCCACAGTCTGTGCAGCCAGCAAGGGCAAGAAGGAGAAGAGAGGTCAAGGTGGGGGAGCGGGCCTCAGAGACAGACATCCACCCATCTTGATTGTCCCCTGCAGGGCTTTTTACAGTAATGTGTCTGCTTCCTTTTCAGGTGACAAAGGACCCATGGGACCGCCAGGACCCAAAGGTAGCCACTCGCATCACTGCCCCGTTATCACCACAGTCTGCCTGCCCCTGGCACCCAGAAGGGACCCCTGGAGCAGATCTGAGAACACACTGGTTCTCAGAGCCTACGACCAAGAGGGAGTCAAGAGCTCCTTCTTACCCAGTCTCTCAGATAGGGAAACTGACACCCAAAGAAAAGAAAGCACTATCTCCACGTAACCGTGGCTGAGTGGTCCTTGGGGTGCTGCAGGCGCACATTCTGAGCTGACTGCTCTGGGCCTCCTGAGCTAGGACACGGGTTTGTGAAACATCAGGATGTGGGGTGCATGGGGGGGCTGTAACCTGGGAGAGATGGGCTGTGCTCCTCTGGATCCATCAGAGCTGTGTTCTGACCGCATCCTGCTGCCGGGAGCTTCCTTATCCCTGAGAGCCACCCAGCAGCTCACGGAACCCTGTTACCCGGGAAGATGGTCTTCCTCACGACTGACGGCTTACGCCCACCCCATGTTTGTTTTAGGTGACCAGGGTGAGAAAGGACCCCGAGGCCTCACAGGTCAGTCTACACAGAAGTCCACTTTAATCCGTTCACAATTTTTAAACCTCCCAGTCACTGGAGGTGGGAAAAGTACAGAAGGATGAGATAGACACTGCCCACAGACCTTCAGGGAACTCGCTATGTAGAAAAAACACAAAGATAAGTAGGGCTGCGAGGGAAAGAGAAGCAAGGATCGAAACGTAGAGTCCAAAGCGTAAATATTTGGGCAGAAAGGGGAGTTTATAGTTGTCCCTGATTCTTTTGGGGAATCCAGCTGGGAGAATTAATAAGCAATTCTCAAAGTAGCAGAAAGTGTGTCCCATGGCACCCTCGCCGGCGCATACCTCAAGTGGCACGCCTGGGAAGGAAACTGATAGTGAGGATGCCTGACACAGCGGGGGGCTTTCGGTTTCCAGGGAATGGGACTCATCCGCACGGCCCTGTGGGTCAGGATTGGCTTCTCAGGCCGTGCCTGCTGCCCAGGGCAGGGGGAAGTAGCCCTGATCTTGCAGTCAAAGCAGCCATTCCTCCCCACTTCCTCTGGGTGGGGAGGGGCGGGCGTGGTGGGGTGCGGGAGCGAGTGGGATCTTGCTACCACATAGCTTACCTGGCTGTCCGTGCTCTGCAGGCGAGCCTGGCAGCAGAGGTTTACCTGGGGCTGTGGGCGAGCCCGGAGCTAAAGGACCAATGGGTAAGTGTCGCAAAGGGGCGGCTGCACGGGGTCTGCACTGTGAGAGCGACGGTCAGCGTGGCCCTGCAGAGATCCTTCCAGAGCTCCCTCTCCCAGCTCCCTCTCCTGCTCCCTCTCCGAGTGAGGCCCACCTGCCAGGCGGCTTCCTGGTCCGAGCCTCCCTCTGGGGGTCTCAGTGCTCCCAGACAGCCTTGGCAGGGCACAGCCCACCCACCCCAGCTGCAGCCTGGAAGCACAGGACAGGCCAGGTAGAGGTCCTCAGAACCCCAGTACTCTACCCCAGTGGCCCTCGTGAAGGTGCCTGTCAGGGGGCTGTGAAATCTGCCCAGGAACCAGCTAACGCCAGGCCTTGGCATTGAGTCCCGTAGTGGAAGTGCAGTGCCTTCATGATGGTTTATTTGGCTGTTGGTAAGAACCACCTGTATGCAGGACAAATAAGACAATCAGCTAAAAAGATACTTCACCCCTGCAAGGGGAGATGACGCTGGTGAGAGGGGACCCGTGGTGGAAGCCACCAAGTGCCATGAAGGTACAGCTGAGGGAAGAAGTTCCTCCTGCCGGAAGGGTAGAGGAGGTGGCATTTCAGGTAGTCCTGAAAAGAGGAAGATTTAAAAGACACCCAGATTGGAAAGCTGCCCATGCAGGAAGGACAGTGTGAGTAAAGACAGGAAGAACAAGACAAGGGCCCGGAAGGACGCCATTTTGGACAGAGATGAGGAAGTGGCCTAGAGCGGGGCAGAAAAGAACATGGAGGACCTTGACTTCCGGGAGCCACATACACGAAGGAAACACTTCGGAGCACCCAGGCCCTTGAGGCCCCAGGGGCGTCCGGGCCTGTTCAGGGGGACAGAGACAGCTGCTGGGGCAGGGGAGGGGCAGGGAGAAGGCCGCACGCATCCAGAGCGCAGCCAACACAGGGCTTCTCCCCAGGGGACAGCCGCAGGAAGAGCCCTGCCGGGGAGACTGTCAGGCAGGCGAGGGAAAGAGGCACAGAAATAGCTCTGGAAGTAACTGACAGACTTTGCTTTTCTGTCTTACCAGGCCCTGCTGGCCCCGATGGACTCCAAGGTCCAAGAGGTTGGTCTTCCCTCTCACCACCTGCCCCTGCCATCCCCTGCCTGCCCTACCCATGTCCCTGCCTGCGCTGAGTCCCCATCGTCATGATGCTGGGGGCACACAGCCTGGGGAAACACACATGGGCCAGGTCCTGCCCTCCTCCTTCCCACCGCCAGCAAGTCGGCTAGCAAAACCCCCGGAAGCCATGAGCTCAGAGGCACTGGTGGGTGAGCCCTCCTCAGGGAAACCCCTCATGGCCGATGCCCTCCCCAGGTGAAAAGGGCCTGATGGGTACGCCGGGAACCCGTGGCCCGCCGGGACCTTCTGGAGACCCGGGAAAGCCAGGTAACGGGGCAGGAAGAGGGAGCCGCTGTTCTGAGTGTGTGCCTGTGTGTGCACGCATGGGTGTGCACGGGTGTGGGCACCTGTTGGAGGGGTGTTGTGGGTTCATATGTGCCCAGTTGTGTGTGTGCATGGATGTGTGTGTGCGTGCACAAGTGTGCCCTCAGGTGCCTCACCCCATTTTCTTCCAAGCCCAGCAGGGGGCCCACACAGCCAGCTGTATGCAATAGCTGCACACCTGGCAATTTGGAAGAGCAGGGTTAATAGCCAGAAGCTAGGAGCTGTGGAAAGGGAAAGCATTCTCCTAAAATCGCAGGCTTAACCACTAGCTCAATGTCTCGCTCCTCTGGGCATTTCCCTTCCTGTCCTCTCCCTCACCCAGACCTACCAATCCCGGAGGGAAGCCCCTGTTAGTCTCCACCCAGCGCCACAGGAGAACAGGGTTCTCAGGTGGAGGAAAAACAGTGACAGACCAGCCAAGGTCTAGGGCAGCACTGGGGTCCATGCATGTGTTTGGGATTCCTGGCTCACCTCAGATTCCAGAAGAGTCTATAAGACAAAATGGGCCCAGAACCAGCACCCAAGGAGGCAGTGGGTCACTTCCCTGCAAGCTCCAAGGCTCATTCTCTGCCCGGTGCTGGGAGGAGCGTGGACTGCCCCCACCCCCGGCTCCCACCAGCCCCTCCTGGGCCACATCCGCCTGCCCCTCCAGGGTCAGGGTGTGGGCCCTTGGGACCGCTCTCAGCCCTGAGACTCTTGCCTGTTGTGTCTTACTTTCTGCAGGTCTCACAGGACCCCCAGGACCTCAGGGTGAGTCATGGGGTTCCTCCCACCTTCTCCTAGGACAGAGCGCTTAGCCAGCTCTTCTCCTCCAGGGTCCACAGTGTCATCTCCTCCCCCAGTCCCCAGAAAACACGGGCTCAGGGCCTCCCCTGGGAGTCTTGAGACACACCTTAGGGAGGAAAATTGAGGTTAGATTGTGCGCTGATTCTGTCTTGCTGGGATTCGCTCCTCTGATGTAGGAACACCCAGGATGAGGCCCTAGACTTATGGGAAGCTGCTGCTGGCTAGGAGTTCTGTAAGCCCACGGAGGCCCATGTCCCCCTCTGGCAGTGTCCTCTCACACAGACTGTTTTTCTGGAGCAGGCTCTTTTGGGTTTGAGAAATCATCAGCACATCCCACCCCTCATTTCCTAAAGGAAACTAGGCAGAGATATGCACAGTGACACCCTGCAGATGCCCCCGGTGAAGGCGGAAGGCAAGCAGGCCCAGCCGTGGCTCCCCATGTAGAGGGTCAAATCCCACACAGCTGAGCCCATGGCCTCTGCCAGCTTCTGCCCAGTGGCTGCCCTGTTTCCCAGGGAGGGACAGACCTCAGGGCTGCCTGGGCTAAAGCTGTAGGCCTGGCTGGCGTGGGTGTGCTGGGTGACGGAGCTAGTTACCCGGGCCACCTGGAACTGCAGGGCTGAGTTACCCTGACTGACCTGTTTTTAATCCCGTCAGGACTTCCCGGGACCCCTGGCCGACAGGGGAGTAAAGGTAAGTGACTTTCCAAATGAGATTCTCTTCTTTACACAGGCCATTTTTGCAGGAGGGAGGGCTTGGCAGGTGGGAGGCCCCTCTCCAGCCAAAGCCTGGACCAACAGTGGCATCTAGTGGCTCCAGCCGAAGGCTGAGGGGTGGGAGCCCCCTCTATGATGAACAGTGGGCTGGGTCCTCAGGCCACTGTCCCCAGTGCTGGGGACACACTGCCAGGCTGCTGTAGCAGCAAGCTCAGGAAGGGTACCGCCTGCCCCTGACTTCCCATCCCCTGGGCTGCTTCTAAAACATCCCCCTGCGGCTGGGTCCCCACCTACAGGCCTCTTCCCCAGGACAGGAGCCACCCTTGGCCTAATCTTTCTCAGAGGCTCTGGTGTGACACCCGCGGCTCCAGAGAGGTGGCCCTCTGTAGACAGAGAGGAGTGTTACAACCTAGTAAGAGGGTAAAGTCAAAGGACCAAAGCAGGACACGATCCTCAGGAGTCTGGCTGGGGCAGTGCGGTATGCGGGCACACTTTCGTCCCGCTCTGCCCCATGAGACTCCAACACTAAGCAAGCCCAAAAGTACGCAGGACTCAGTCCCAGGCTCCCTGTGTCCCTGTGACCCCATGCTCCTGAATACTGATGTTCTGGAGCTGTGCCATTGTGACCTGTCACTGCAGTGGATCCCTAGGAATAAATCTTTCCAGATCTATTCCCAGTGGCTGCTGGGGCCAAGCACTTTTGGGAGATCAATAAATGGAACACAAAACAGCGACAACTGAGAACCATAAGTCTTGTAGGTTTGAGCATACCAGAAACGCTATTCTTCTTCCTGTCCAAGGGGGCCTCAGGGTAAGGTGGCCAGGAGAGGACATCTTTCCTCATGTTGGATTTTGCTCCAACAAAACCCACTCAGTGGCTTCTTCCGTCTTGCCTGGGCCCCTGGCTGGTGAAAAGTGAGCAGAAACCATAATCTATTGTCCTTTAGTTGCTCGCAAATCTTTGGAAGTGAAAAAGAGAAGCCCCTCGAGAATTCCCAGCTGAGGGGCTTTTTTGCTCCCTGCTCCGCTTCCCCCAGCCCGCCAGGGATTGCAGGTTGAGAGGCATCGGTGGTGGCTGCATCTGTGGACATGTGAATTCCACTTCCTCTTCTCAGAGGCCTTTAGATTTTCAGCACTCGGAGATACATGGCAGGAATGAGCTGCGACTTTCTGTTGTTTAGGATTTCCCAGATTATCAACCACATAGCTCCTGATCCTGTCATCCCAGGGAAGTAGAGCTCTGAGGAGCACGCTGGGACCCCCAGGCCCCCTCATGGGCTTGTGGCCTCTGTCCTTTGTCCTCTGGGTAATTTTCCCACCTAAGGTGATTTCCAGGAAGAGAGGATGGAAAGGGAGCTTGTGAGTGACTCTCAGCCAGCCTCATTCTGACCCTACTTCCCTCCTCCTCCTGTGAAGCCCTTCTCTGCAGGTGGACTGAGGCTCAGGCCTCCAGGGTCTGAGACAGGCCAGGAGATATCCCGCAGAGCCCCTGAGATTCATTAAAAAGCCTTTAGACCGAAGGCAAGAGCCACAAGTGGGCCTCAAAGGTGACCAGAAGCCTTGAAAATGATGTACTGAGCCACTAACTGACCTTGCTGACCTCTCTTCCTCACTCTCCTCGCCCCAGGTGATCCAGGCACCCCAGGCAGTTTCCTGACTTCAGGTACGTAGGCCAGGAAGAGCTGCTCTTTGTGGTGTCCTTACCCCTCCTCTGCACCAATTACCTAGTGGCCCTTCTTGAGCAAGATTCTTGGGGCTCTCTTTTCAAATAAATGTCTTGCAGTTTTATAACCTTGAGCCTGCAGTGGGTGAGATCTTGGGACTCCTAACATGCCTTTAGATTATCTGTCCTATTGCCCTGACGCAAAGTTCTTGGTTCCTTTTTTGTTTGTTTTGAGACAATATAGCTGTCATTATGAAACTATGTCACTGTGTAGCTCAGGCTGGCCTCAAACTTGTGACAATCCTCCTGTCTCAACCTCCTGAGTGTTGAGATTATAGCCATGTGCCATGATGCCCAGCTTTTGGCTTCTTCTTAATGTTAATCTTTTCAGCAACCACATACTTCAAGGTACCAACTGTGCAGGTACTTTTCTTTGATGAAGCTACAAACTTTATGCATTTGTCTCTCCCATTTGCTCCTGATTCTCACTACAAATCTGGCTAAAACCTATCAAGTAGTACCCATACCACAGCATGAATGTTGGGCTGCCTTGCAATTTTCTCTGCAAGATTAATTAGTTGGTTGACCTTGATCTCAGTCTCCAACAAAGTCTCAGAACATGAGAAAAACATGGATAAATTTTCTGGCAGAGCGTAATACATGCCTTCTAGTCTGTCAATGGACTTTTGTTCTCAGCTGAAACCTCCTGAGCTGGGCCTTTACTGTCCACAACTCTATCATCATTCTGGTTTTCTGAGCTTTTGCTAGAATCTCCCATCAAGTTTCACTTTAAAGCATTGCATGGGTCACCTGCCCTGGCTCTACCATGATGTTTCCCAAGAAGTACCAGTCAGTGCTGGGGAGAGGTGTTGTGGTCAGTTCTTTGGGTCTGCACCTGGGAAAGGGGAAGTACAGAGGCAATGAGAAGCCAAGACCTCAGCCTGCCCTGCTGTGGACACCAGTGTTTCAGAGCCAAAGATTGGACTCAGTGTTCCCTGTTCTTTCTGTTTCCAGAGGGCTCATCCATGGTCACTGTCCCAGGCCCCCCAGGGCCTCCTGGAGCCATGGGACCTCCAGGACCTCCAGGTTCCCCAGGTCAGTTTGTTTTCTTACTTTGCCCTAATGATCAGGAGGCCGTGGGTGCCTTTGACTCTAGCCACGTCTGCTCAGATCCTGAAACCACAGGCCAGAACCCAGGAAAGAGAGCAAGGGGGACCTAAGAAAGCCAATCCCTGTTTCTAGGAAAGGAGGAGGGTCGCTCAGTAGTAGAGGAGGGAAAGCTGGCTCTCACAGAGGGTAAGTGACTTGCCTAAAGTCACATGACCTCTAAGCAGCAGGTCAAAGATTCAGTCAATGTCCTTCAGTGTCCAGAGCTGCAGACCTCTCAGAGCACAGGGCCTTCAAGCCCACCGTTTCTTCCTGGAAAACAATTTGAAAAGAGCATCCAGGGCAACACAAATGCTCGTTGTCTACTAGGGAAGCACATCTTCCAGCACCACGGATGGTCCCAAAAACATGAGGACTTTGGAAAACCATTGTTAAGAGATAATAGTTGTAGTTAGAAGAGCAAGACATCAATTTGTGTGCTCTAGGGTTCTGGCTATATTTTTATAAGATGTAAAAGAGAAAAAAAGATGGTGGGAGGAAACAAAATGCTCAGAAGTTAAAGAATTGGGGTTTTCCCTTACTTTTCCAAAATGCCTACTATTCTGTATATGTGTTTTCAAGGGTTGGGGATGTACCTCAGTGATAGAGCTTAGCATGCATGAGGTGCCTGCTTCTATCCTCAGCACCAAAAATAATTAATTAAATATTTGTGAAGTACGTAATTTAACACAACCAGTGCAGGTACATACCAGTCTTGTTTCCTGACATACTCCATTGAGAAGGAGGTTGCAAGGAACACGCGGAAGTCACTAACCTGTGAAGGACAGTGTAGACAGGACAGCCTGCCGCCCCAGGGCTCCAGTACCAGTTGGAGACTCTCAAACCACTAGTCTCATTGGTTGTCATTGTCAATATGAGCAAGCTGACGCGCACACCTTGGGAGGGGTTCCGTGTGTGCCCTGCACCCGCCTTCCTTCAGCTCTGCCCAGGACCCCAGAGCTGTGACTCAGCCTTTCTTCCCCAATGCCGTTTCCAGGCCCCGCCGGCCCTGCTGGTCTGCCAGGACAGCAAGGTATGTCACACCGTGAGAAAACACAGAGACTCTCCCAGGCAGGCCTGGGCGCCTGTGCTTTAGCTCAAGGGACAGATGTGTGTTTCGGAGATGGGGAACAAGGGGCTACCTCTCTTACCCGGTTTCATATTTCTAGGAGGGTCGGGGTCCTTGGGACAAGGGGGTTGAGGTTTTGTGGCCCTTGATCAAGACTGAACTCAGCTATTTGTGACCTGACCCTGATAATCAGTTTTATCCAAATATCAAAACACAGCCAGGTCCTAGGAAAAGCCATGAAGTTTTGGCTGTAGACAGAAGTGCCCACTGTCAGGGCTCTGGCCCCACTCTCCCCGCTGTGGGCCCCGCCCCCTCTCCAGGCCCCGCCCCCTCTCCAGGCCCCGCCCTCCTCGCAACTCCAGGCTCTGCCCTGCACCTGGCTCTGGTCTGCACCTGGCCTTTCCTGAGGCGCTGTTCCCCCTAAACCTGTCCTTCCCACAGGCCCGAGAGGTGAGCCAGGACTCGCTAGCGAGTTGTCTGTGGGCACCGGCACCTCCATCTCCGAGATCATCTCCTCCCGTGAGTGCCACCACTCTCTAGAGCGGGTGACAGTGGGGGTGGGAGCAGGGAAGACGTCAGCCCACTGGGGTTCTCTGCAGCTGCAACAGAGTCATCTTGAGGGCTCTGTGTGAGGAGGACCGGCTCCTCTCCAGCGAGTGACAGCTGGGAAGAACAGCAGGGCTCCTCTGGCACAGGAAGGTCAGGGACTGGGGATGCAACAGCTGTCAGGGAAGCTCTGGGACCCTAGGAGGACCAGGGTCAGGTGAGGTCTTGGGCTGCAGCTGGCAGAAGCAGGGCATCTCCCAATGGAGGAGGGCAAGGGCAGGATGCCCAGCCACAGCCTGGTCTACAAGGGGTGACTTCTTCATCCTCTTGTCCACAAAGCCCTTTCAAGAGCCCAGGTGGCCTGGGTCTGGTGGCACAGGTCTGTAATCCCAGCTGCTTGGGAGGCTGAGGCAGGGGGATTTCAACATAGCAGATTGCAAGTTCAAGGCCAGCCTAGGCAACTTAGTGAGACCTGTCTCAAAAACAAAACAGGTTAGCTGGGTGTGGTACCACACATCTATAATCCCAGCACTTGGGGATCACCATGATCCCCAGGAGGGATCATGGTGAGGCAGGAGGATCACCATGAGTTTCAGGCCAGCCTGGGCTACATAGTGAGTGAGACCTGTCTCAAAAAATCAGAACAAATAAGCAAACAAATAAAAGGGCTAGAGATGCAGCTCAGTGGGAAGGTTTTCCCAGCACACACAAAACCCTGGATTCAATCTGCAGCATGACCAGAAGAAAAAAAGCCCCAGCAGAGCTGCCAGGACTCCTGGAGCCCTGAACAAACAGCTGCCAGTGTTGTGCTGGAAGCTCAGCGTTCTGTGGCATCTCACTGAGACTTCACAGCACCCCTGGGTGTAGGTTTGGTGGACTCTGGTTTACAGAGGAGGAAACTGAGGTCACAAGAGGTTGAGAACTTGCCTGAGGTCATCAGCTGGACTTGCAGGAGCAGGGATTTAAACCCTAGCTGACCCCGAAACCCGAGCTCTTAAAGATGGCTCCACACTCCCATGTGGCATTTGACTGCTGCCCCGTCCTGCCTCTGAGCTGGGGGCTCCCCTAGCCTCGGAATCCGGGAAGGTTCTTGCCCAGGCTGGGTGCACCCCAGGGTGTCTGACACCAATGATCCGAGAGGTAAGGAGCCCGGCAGAGAACACCGCGGCAGAACCCTCACTCATTTCTGCTTGCTTCTCCCCACAGAAGGCATTGATTTACGAGGCCCGCCAGGCCCGCCGGGGCCCCGAGGACCGCCAGGTGAAGATCTCAGGGGCGGTTAGTGGGTGGGGGTCTAGGGGCAGCGGCCTCGGGCACTGAGGGAGCCAGCCCAGATCTCACCTCAGGGTGTGTCCACCCCCTGAGCTCAGGATGCCCTCTTGCTCACTCTCTCCCACAGGGCCAGCTATCCCAGGGCCCCCAGGACCCCGAGGCCCACCAGGTGAGACAGAGCTCCCTGCTGGATGGGATGGGAGGCGAGAGGACCAGAGCCATTGCAGGAAGGAGCATCTCTGCTTCTTCTGGGCAGAAGGCTCCTGGCCACCTCTCGGCACTCATGAGTCTTGGGGCTTCTTTCATCCAGGGGAAGGCTTCCCAGGCCCCCCGGGCCCCCCAGGATCTCTCCTGACCACCTCAGGTAAGGCCGTGGCGCCGAGCACTCTGCCCCAGTCTGTGCGCTTACCCTGGCCCAGGGCTTCCTCTGACTCTCCACTGGGCCCGTTGCTGCCTGCGAGGAGATGAACCACCCCAGCCCAACCTTCTGGGGAGCTTCTGGAGTGACTGGGGAGGCCAGTTCCTATCTTTGGGGAGCCCAGGTCTAATAAAATGGGCAGGACTCAGGCCCATGAAAGAAGTGCCAGCAGAATGTAGAAACTCGGAAATAACTTCAGAGCAAACGTTGGGCCAGAGCTCTCGTCACTGTGGAAGATCCATCCATCCATCCATCCGTCCATCCATCCATCCGTCCATCCGTCTGTCCGTCCGTCCATCCATCCATCTACCCATCCATCCATCCACCCATCCGTCCATCCACCCGTCCATCCATCTGTCCATCCATCCGTCCATCCGTCCATCCATCCACCCTTCCATCCGTCCGTCCGTCCGTCCATCCGTCCGTCCGTCCATCCATCCATCCATCTGTCCATCCATCCATCCGTCCATCCATCCGTCCATCCATTCATCCATCCATCCATCCGCCCATCCATCCATCTTCTCATTCATCCACTCATTTCTATACCCAACCTCTCAACCACGCAAACATCCAAGCATCCATCCATCATCCATCTGACAGGCGTTGATTGAGCATCTGCAGCGTGCCAGGCACTGTGCTAGAAGGTGCTGCTACCCCAGAAATATCACTCACCTTCCCTCACACTGTTGCCTTCCTCTGCAGAAACCTTCTCTGGCCCCCCGGGCCCACCTGGCCCCCCAGGCCCCAAGGGAGACCAAGGTGAGAACAGAATCTCAGGGAGCCCACAGCCAATGTGTGCCCCCCTTTACCCCTAGTGGTCAGGATGAGGTGGGATGAGCAGAGGCTGTTCTTGGTCCTCTTGCTGGGTCCCTTGGCCTGCAGCATGGGGCGGGAGGGGGAAGGGCAGGTGGTAGGAGACTCTGAAAAGAACCCCTGTCCTGTGGTGACGTGGTGGAAGGAGGGGCACTGGGAGCTCCAGATTCTCTGTCCCCTCCTCCACTGGCCTGATGGAGTCACAGTGCCTCGCTGGTAGGTGCCTCACGGCTCTCTGCCTCCTTCCCACAGGTCCCCCGGGCCCCCGAGGACACCAAGGTACAGTACAGCTGGCGTCAGGCATCACCTGGGCCGGGGATGGGGTGGCAAAGGCTGACTTCCTGCAGCTTTGAGCTTAGCAGAAGTGCCTGTGTTGGGCCGGACAGTATTCGGTGAAGGGCCGAGTATCCTGTGTTCTGTGCACATTTGCAGTGTAGTTGTGTGTGTGGCCAGCACTGACCAAAGGGCTGCACAGACTGGGCAGGGGCCCCAGAGGGGAGGCGGCGGGGAGTGAACTGCCTGTCCCCTCCCGGCAAGCAAGGCCTCCCAGGATTCTTGGCCTCAGGGAAGTGCTGGGGCGCCACCCGACTCGGCTATGGCCAGAGCCTCTCCCCACTCCGGCTGACTGTACGGTGTGTGTTATTGGCTTCCAGACACCGGTTCTCTTGGATTCAACCTGCAGGGACCGCCAGGCCCACCTGGTCCACAGGGACCCAAAGGTGACAAAGGTCAGTGAGGGAGCAGCCTGACCCCTGAGCCCGACCTTGAATGGAAGATCCGAATGCTTCGGCGCTCCAGGCTTGGGGGATAGAAAAGGCAGAAGAAAGGAGGAGGCTGGGACAGGATATGAGAGACAGTCTCCCCCACGGGAGCACGGGGTGTCACTGCAGAGACAAGACTAGGAGACACTAAGTGTGCGGGGCTTCAGCGGGGGGGCTTCTTGGAAGAGGGGACACAAACAGGGCTTCTCCATTCGGACTGCAGGTGATCCTGGTGTTCCTGGTGGTCCCTCTCGAGGTAAGAGCCAAAGGCAGCCATAGTTCCCCTCCTCTCCCTCAAGAGAGGCTGAGCATTCCTTGAAGACATCGCTGGGTGGGCTCGATCACTCAACTGTGACTCACGCCCCTGCCTTGGCGGGTCCATGAGCTGTTGAAGGAGGGGACGTGCTAGGGGGCAGCGGCCCACGCACATCCAGGGGTGACCGGCAGTCGGGCCGCAAACAGACCAGGGCCTGGGGGGATGGGCAGGAGAGAAACTGGGGCACTGAGCGGGTTGCTGAGGGAAGGGGGTTTGGCCGGGCTTTGGCCTGGGGCAGCTCCCAGCTCTGCCTTTCACAGATGTGGCCTTTCTCGTGCCGCTCTTCTCTTTCTCCCACTGAGAAAGCACAGCTTCCTCAGCCAGGGAGGCACTGCCTGGGTCTGACCTCGGAGAGAGAAATCAAGTCAGGCCGCCTTCTCTTCCCGCAGGGGGCTCATCGAGCACCACCTATACAGCAGGCCCGCCTGGCCCACCAGGGCCCCCTGGGCCTCCGGGCTCCCTCAGAAGCTCCAGCCTGGAGATCCAGCAGTACATCTCTGAGTACATGCAGAGTAAGTGGGGCCAGCCACCGCGCCTTGGGATTGGCTCGAGCAGTGTGCGTGTGTATGCGGGCGTGTGTGCACGTGCACTCACCACGTGTGCTGGGAGAGCAGCTTCGGGCCCTGGACCTGGCCTGCAGTCAGTGGGTTGTGCGCGCATGCCTGTGCATACACACAGCCTCGTCCTCGCCCCACACGGAGGCACACGCGCACACACGCACACACTCACCTCTGCATGGGTAATTTGTCAAACGAATGGCTGCCTGGAGTCTTGTTAGTAGATGCCCCTCAGACCACCTGAGCAACCCAGGCCTCTGCCTCAGTTTCTCCATCAGTAACATGGGAGTCAAGGCTCCATGTGGGGTGGGGCAGGCATTTCCTCGTGGGCTGCAGGTGACCTCTGTGACCCTGGGGAGGACTGGCCTCCTGGGGACAGGCTTGACTTCTTTATTGCTTTGCTGGCAGGCGACAGCATCAGGGCCTATCTTTCTGGAGTTCAGGGTCCCCCGGGCCCACCTGGTCCCCCAGGGCCCGTCGTCACCACCGCAGGCGAGACTTTTGACTACACAGCGCTGGCCAGGCACGTTGTGAGCTACTTGCGGGGTAAGCCTGTCCCAGCCCTCACGCACTGGCCTCCGCTAGGGTTCCTTCCGCGTCTCCTAGCTCTCCATTCACTCCTCCCCGAACATGACCTCGATCGCGCACTCCCCACCGCCAGGCTCTGCCATCAGCCTCGGCAGGGTGCTTCAGGCTGAGAGCCGAGGCCACACAGGAGCACCGCACGCAGTGGGCATTTGCCCAGGGTGCTCCTAACTTGTCTGAATCTCCAGGCTGGTAGGATGTACTAAGAGTGAGTCCAAAGCATGTCCTGGCAAACAAGTTTGCCTTTCTTGTCAAATCAGCAGCAGCATCTCCTTCTGATCCTGTGCTAAGCAGCCTGCGCTGTCCGGGCCATTCCCTTTCACCCAAGAGAGACCTAGTGGGCCAGGGTTTTCAGACACCATGAGCAGGGCCACTGCAGGTCCCACGAGCGGTCCCCTGAGGTCTCCTTCCCACAGCTTCGGGCTACAACATCGGCAGGTCCTCTGGCTCCATCTCTGCGGAAGACATCCTGGCCATGCTGCAGCGTGAGTTGCCGGGTAGAGGGCGGGAGGGTGGGCCATCTGTGCTCCCTGCTGGCTTCGCCTGGGAGCACACCTTTCCCCCACCAGTTTGTGAGGGCTGCAGACCAGGGAGGGCAAAGGCCTTTGGGACAAGGAGCCACTGGCTCACGGCTCCGACGCGCTTGCTGGGTAACACAGGGACTGGAGAGGGGGTGGTGAGTCTGCCCTGCCCTGATGCCAGGCAGCCAGGCAGGCATCCCTGCAGGGACCTGGAAGTTGCCTGATTGATCCCCCTGACCACTGTGGGCCCAAGGGCCCAGAACGCACAACTGCCACTGGGGAGCCAGATGGTGCAGGGGGTCGGGCTGTGGCTGGATGGGGGTGCAACAGCCCCGTGGCTGGGGGAATCCACGTTAGCACATCCTTCCCTTGCCAGGGGATGATGTACTCCAGTACCTGCGTCAGTACCTGACGGGCCCTCAGGGTCCCCCGGGGCCACCAGGCGCCAGTGTGGATGGGTCCTTCCTGTCGTCTTTGAACTACGCGGAGCTGAGCAATCGTATTCTCAGCTACATGTCAAGTGAGTGCCTGCCCTCCTGCTGGCCCCGTGCAGTGGTCCCGCTGACCTCTCCTGCTGGGCTGCAACAAACCCCACAGAGGGAGTGGGTGGCTCCAAAGCAGGTCAAAGAGCCTGGCAGGGGAAGCCAAAAGGACATCTCGGGCAGCATTTTGGGTGGAGCTTGCACATGCACACACACACTCACTCACACACACCACACTCTCATGCACCCAGCTGCAGGATTCCTGTGGGCAGCAGTGACCTGCACTTTCTTCTCAGTGCCCTCCTCCTTGGGGCCACTGCCCAGGACTGCACCTCTGCCCCATTCCTCTCTGCCACCCCTCTTTACCATTCTTGGGCTCCATTTCTGTACAGACCCGTGTCAGGCATTGGAATCTGCCCTCCCCTGCCCAGTCTTAATCCATCACAACTGGGACTCTGTCCCCCAGGTTCTGGCATCAGCATCGGGCTTCCTGGCCCGCCAGGCCCCCCTGGCCTACCGGGGACATCTTATGAGGAGCTGCTTGCCTTGCTCCGAGGTAAGGCCGGGAAGGCGCCTGTGTCCAGGGGGTCTGGGGTGGAAGCAGAGCCCTTGGCCCAGCCCATGACTGACTCCCTGCTCTCTCTGGGTGTCTCAGGGTCTGAATACAGAGGCATCATTGGGCCCCCAGGCCCTCCAGGCCCACCCGGGATCCCAGGCAACTCGTGGTCCAGCATCAGCATGGAGGACCTCTCGTCATACTTGCACAGTAGGTCACTGGGAACAGGGCTGAGGGCAGAGGGCTGCAGCCGGCAGGGTGGTCACGGGGCGTCCACTCACCCGTCACCTAGTCCTCCCGGAGGATGAGCAGAGCCAGGCCTCACTTGCTGAGAGGTGCCCAGCCTTAGCAGGTGGGGATGTGGAGACGAACTCCCAACCGCAGCCCTTGGCGAGCTCACAAGCCCACCCTTCATTAGGGTCCCGCTCCTCCCTCCTGCTCTCAGGGAAGCTCAGCCACAACCCACCCCTCTCCAGACCTCCTTTCAGCAGGCCCTGGCACTGCGCTGTATTGCCCTTGACCTTCCTCTTCTCTTCCCTCCTTCTCAGCTGCTGGCTTGTCATCCATCCCAGGCCCACCAGGCCCGCCTGGCCCCCCAGGTCCTCGAGGGCCCCCCGGTGTCTCAGCAGCTCTGGCAACCTATGCAGCTGAGAACAACGACAACTTCCGGAGTGAGCTGATCAGCTACCTCACAAGTAGGTGCTCCAGTATTTGTGTTCACCTCTACCTCCTCCTTAGACCCTACTTGTCCCTGTAAGTGTACCTTAAGAGTCCAGGAAGCTGGTGCTCAACAGAGGGGTGCTTGGAAGAGCCTGGGGGCCAGCGGTGGGAGACGCCCAGGGGTGCTTGGAAGAGCCTGGGGGCCAGCAGTGGGAGACGCCCAGGCTCTTTCCTCAGCAGCGTTTTCCTGCTCATGTGCAGGGATCCTGAAGTTCACTTCCTCCCTAGGGGACACTGAGCTTTAGGAGAGACCCTGTGGCTCCCAAGTCTTCTGTCCTCCAAGATCTGAGCTCCTGCTCACGGCTTCCTTCCCAACAGGCCCTGATGTGCGCAGTTTCATCGTTGGCCCCCCGGGGCCCCCAGGGCCCCAGGGCCCCCCTGGAGACAGTCGCCTGGTGTCAAGAGACGGCTCCTATGGTTGGAGTAGCAGCTCTTCCGTCCGACGGGGCTCCTCCTACAGCTCTTCAGTGGGCGCCGGAGGAGCCAACAGAGGCTCCTTGGGAGAAGGTGCAGCCTTTGGTGCAGGAGACGGGGGCCCCTATGGCACTGACGTCGGTGCGGGCGGAGGCTATAGGACGGCAGCAGAAGGTGGTGTGTATGGAAGAAACGGTGACTCACTCCGGGCTGGCTTCGGTGGAGACCTGGATTACAACGAGCTGGCTGTGCGGGTGTCAGAGAGCTTGCAGCGTGAGTAGGGGCACGGCCTGGGTGTGGGGCGAGCGCCTTAGCACTGAGGCACTGTGGGGTGGAGCGCCCAGGCTGGGCAGACAGCAATGCCACAGTCGGACAGGCCCAAGGGCAGGAGGTCCTACCTTACCTCAGCCCGCTCACACATGGGCCTCAGCATGAAAGCTGAGCTGCGGGAGCAGAGCACAGGGGCGTCTTGCTGTTCTGCTTTCCCAACACTTAACTTGCTCAAGGTCTCAGAAGAGTCCCAGGGACCACAATGACCTTCTTCTGGGGCTGTAGGAAAACCTATTGGCTAAGAGGTCCCTTCTCCCTGTAACTGTCAGCCGATCACAGAGGTCTCGGAGGAAACAAAGCCCACAGCAGGCAGACCTGTGCCGTCACATGGGAATGCAGAGCAAAGCTGCAGGGGTGGCCCTGGGACAGTGTCCTCTAGTTCACCTGCTTTGGGAGTCATGGTGCTGAGCATTCCTGCTGCTGGCCCCACACTCTGGTGTTTTGCAGGTCAGGGCCTGCTACAAAGCATGGCCTACACTGTCCAGGGCCCACCTGGCCAGCCTGGGCCCCAAGGGCCCCCCGGCATCAGCAAGGTCTTCTCTGCCTACAGCAACGTGACTGAGGACCTCATGAACTTCTTCCGAAGTAAGGGCACCCCATTACTTGCCCAGCACTGAACTGTTGCAATCTCTCGGGGGCCTGCTCTACAGACACCAACTCACGGAAAACCTCCCTAAAAATACCTGAAACGGTGAAAATCAGAGTCTGGACGCTGTTTCCCCTTACACGTTCCAACTCCATTCTGCACATCTGTGTTACTTTGAACAAGGCACTTGACCTCCCAGGCTCAGGCAGTCTCTAAGACCAGTTTTTTGCCCTTGCAGCTTACGGAGCCATTCCAGGACCGCCTGGGCAGAAGGGAGACGTGGGCACTCCAGGACCTAAAGGTAAGGGAGGCACGGAAACGGCCACCAGGATCCTGTGCAATGCCAACCCTTGCTGGTGCCATACGGGGGACCTGGGCCACACCTTCAGCAGCCCAATTACTCATTACTCTCCCGTCCCATCTGTCCGCCCAGGCGACAGGGGCCCTGCCGGACCACGGGGTCTTCCTGGACCACCTGGCTCTCCAGGGCACAAGGGGGAGAAGGGAGACAAAGGTAAGTGACGGTGCTGCTCGCTGGCCCTAGAGTGCAGGAGGCTGGTGCTCAGTAGAGGGCGATCTGGTACAGGACAAACCTGAGAAATTCAGGTAAATGCCAAGGCAGACACTGCCAAGAACGTTAATTTGCCTAAAATCCCAGGGAGAAAGAAAGGAGCGCCAGTGCAGGGAGGAGAGGGAAACCCATCTGGTGGTGACACAGGGTGAACACTTAAATAAGTTCATAGTCTTACAAAAGCTTTAATCTTTGCAGTCATCTGCAGTAGCCACAGATGCAACTGCCCACGCTAAGGTCGCATCTTCTTGCAGGTGACCAAGTCTACATTGGGCGGAGGAAGAGGAGTGTTGCCAGCAAGCCATGAGCTGGCCTGGGCGGAGCGGCCGCTGCGCCAGTTCTCACAATGTCTGCGGGCCTGTATGTCAGATTTCTCTCCAGAGGTAAAGCTGGAGTCTGTAAGCGTCCTGCTGAGACAGTCGCCTGCCAGCTATGTTTAGCCAAACAAAAGACACGTAGAGAATTCAAAGATACACGACGTGGAACAGCCTCACGGGGTGGCCCTGAAGAGTAGTCGCAATGTTCTAGGATGAAACTTACTTCCCTGCTATCTAGATCGAAGTGCCCTGGCTTCTTTAACACTTAGTTTGAACCCCAACCTAGGAAAGCTAGTAACACAGAAAGTGGCTTAGGAGGCTCAGGGCTTTGCCTAAAAGCGAGCCCTAAAAATGGAAGATGGGGCTTCGGTGCCTCCCTGGAGGTGACATGTGAGGGCGTCTTCTGGTTACTGTTGCAAAGCCAAATGTCATCTTCTTACTCCCGTTCACTCTGCGTCCTCCAGTCACGGAAGAATTGGCTAAGAAGTGACTCTCGCAACGGAACACATAAAGAAACTCACTTCCTCTGCAAGAGGTGACAGTGTTTTTAACGGCTATTCCACTTGCTGAGAAAGTCTGATCATAGCTTTGATCTGTACCCACAGGTCCAAGCTAGCGTTCACAGATACATGATCCTGCACTAGACGGCAGAAACGGGGCACGAGTGGCAGCGGGCAAGGAAGGAGGGAGGAGGGGAAGCGAACACCTGATGCTGGGGAAGGCGCTTCTGCCCGTGGTGTCACTCTCTTAGGAAATGGCATGGGGGGCTGAGCATAGCTGGCTTATAAGCACTTTTCACTGCCTAAACACATATGTACGTGGTCTGTAAGATGAAATGTCATTTCAAGTGTAAAATTTCCAATTAAATTTTTTCTTTTTTAGTATGTTTAATGTGAACAATCTGAACAAAAGGTTAAAAAAGGTATTCTGGGTTCATCAGGCCTGATACTTTCATTACATACATGAGAAAAGAAAACCACTTGTATGACACACTTCTAGCATTCTGTTTACTCTCTGAGATGTCTGAAGGCAGCCTTTTTGCAACTATGAACTCAATCTGGAAACATCTCGAAGCACCTGAAGGTCTTTCCTAAGCACAGATGTCGTGAAGTAAACACAGGTGCAACACATGAGCAACAGGCTTATCTGCGATTAACGCAGTGACTTATCCTGGGGCCAATCGTGATGGCAGGGTAAGTAACATGTGGACCATCGAGGCTCCTACTAAGGGAAAATGTACGAGTATCACCTGCCCCAAAGAAACCCACAGTAAAATCAGACATCCCAATTCTGAAGAGGCTGCACTCGGCCAACTTATAAATTTGTTAGAAGTTCTAACTCTCAATCGCTTATTAAACACGGAGCTACATTAAATCTACTTCTGTAACTCTACTCTTCTGAAAAGCTTTATTCTCCTATCTGGCCTTTGCTGAGGACCTCACATACTTCCTGGAGAAAACAGCTGACTTCCACCGTATCCATCAGCTGGAGCAGCACCCACCGATCAAGTACGTTCTGCATGGACTTCCGGCTCCACTGTTATGTCCCAATAGCTACCTACTTTGAATCGACACGGGAATTTCTGAAAGGGAGTTCATATGGCCGGCAGAATGTCAAACTACTTATTTTACTGCCTAATGAAAACTTAATATTGTGTCAAATGCATGAATGAAATGTACCTTTTACAGTTTTTAAAAGAATTCATCAGTTTTACCCAAAACATGAATTTACTTTTACTTTTTAAATGTACTTTTACTTTTTACATTGGGGTTCAAGTACTATATCCCCTTGAATAATAATTCCTACTCTCATTAATCAGACCAAGGAATTTCGCCCTTGTTAATAGATTTACTTTACTAAGATATCCAAGTCTTGCAGTCATATACTCAAGCAGAACAGAGTAAAAGTCCAAACTTGCAGACACGAGATGTATGTCCTCAGCTCACCATCAATGGAGCTGGGCCTCTTTTGTTTCATTACAAAAACTGAGCTCAATACTGCACAATGCTCCTAGAATAGAAAGGACATGCTACCCCTCTCTCCAGCCAAGCTGGATCCTGCCAAATGATGCCCAGTGAAATGCCCACTGAATCTGCTATGAACTCATCAATGAATGACGAAAAGATTATTTTAGCAGAAGCGAGGTCATAGGACTCAAAACGCTTGGTGTGAAATCTAATTCATAGGGAGCAGTAATAAAAACGTACATCTACCTACATCTACGGAAATAATATAAGCACCTCCAAAAGGAGAATCACATGTGAGAGACATACACCAGCAAGGTACCAGTGAATATCTGTGTGTACATGTGTGTGTACACCTCAGACAGTTAGGAGCACTAACACATTTACAAAGTAAAGGCCTGGAGGACGGCAAAGTGTAACTAGAAGCCCAAAAAAGCTGCAAAGTCTTCCCATGCAAAGTAACCTCGCTTGAAAGATTATCAATGTAAAAAAACTGCTTCCCAAGATAGATTAAGAAATAACTTTATTGTTTGTCAATTCCATGATTGAAAAGACAATATTGATCCCAAATAGACAAGAGGCGTAATCTGAAACAAAATTCTCTCTGAAAGTTGAGCTTGTGAACGTATTACACTGCAAAGGATCACAAAAGCTGCAGCCAGCGTTTATGACTGATAGAACACTCCATTCCAAGCTTCACAGCAGAATAGTAAAGCATTACTGAAACCACGTTAGCCACAGAACAGCAACATTAAGGCATTAACTCTTATGCCTTTGATGTAAGAAAAACATTTAAAATATCATCCCATTTCCTACAAAATATCATTTCCCAGAAAAGTATAGATTTACTGATTCAGATGACTGTTAGAACTGGAACTCTTCCCCCCTTGCAGTTCTAGGTTTCTCTTTAATCCACAGTATCTCCAGCTAATACTCTGACTGAGTCTGGCTTCTCCGAAGAGTCATGTAAGCACAGTACGGAAAAGGAAAGTGTGCAAAGGGAAAGAAAGAGTACAAAAAACAGTCACTTCTGAAACTTGCTGATGCTCAAGAAATCAGAAACCCTCCACTAAAGAGGGTCGCATATGCCTGAGAGCTTTGTGCTTGAGGAAACACTACTTAGAGGTAGCTGTGGTTCTGGTTTATATTTAACTGTAATTTGCCGTGTCCTGTCACGGGAAGGATCCAATATTCTCAGCAAAGTAAAAACATTCTGAATTTCCTCCTCATCCCCCCATAGCTTCTCCCTAGAAAACGGTAAGAATTCAATGTGACTCCACCTGGGGTAGGAGTTAATTCAGTAATTCCACAGCCTTGGACTGACAGGACTAGGGAAGGCAGCTGGATGCCTGAGCGTTAGGAGTGGGCCTGCATAAGTGTGGAGGTCTGGCGTGTCCACAGCACACCGGGAAAGAGGGGACTGTTTGGGGTGAATATACAGATGACCCCTTTTATGTACTTCATGGCACCTTCTGCCATGGCGACAACATACTCTAATCAGAGCTGACGGTACTATCATATTTCAAAGAAGTCCGTGCCCCCAGCCTGCTCTCCACCTACACTCGCGCAAGAAATAAAAATCACTATTAGCTATTTGATACAGAGCCTTACAAAAAGCAGGCAGGTGGGGGTAAAACAGCATATTCTACAAGACACTTTGGATAGGTTTTTATAACCTGAAGTACCAGGGTGAAGCCCCCTCTACGTGTGTACCACCGTATCGTCCTGTGCTTACATGAACACCGAGCACTGAATCCACAGGCAGAGCTGCAGGAGCTGTGAGAGCTGCTGGCAAACTGACCCCATGTGTCAACCGCTCTGCTCTGACCCTCTCCTGGATTCAATATTCTCAATGCTAAATTGAAAGGAATAGAAAGAACCAAATAATCACATCAAATTATGTCTAAAATTATTTAAACGACTGAAAAAATGGCTGAAATATTCATTTTTAAAAAGCCAATGAACTGAAAATTTCAGAAGATAAAGCGGCACGAAGGTCTCCTCCGTCTCCCTCTTCAGGTAACATCACACTGTCTCTTCATCATAACAGTGTGAACGCTTCCCATCACCACCCTGAATAGCACTTTATAAAGACGTATTTTAAAAGGCTTTCAAAACAGCTTTCAACCCAGCAGTTGAGAATAAAGCATTAAGAGTTTTGTCTACAGTAACATATTTATGTGATAAGTGTATGAATTTACAACCATACATTGTGTGTGTGTGTGTGTGTATGTGTATATATATATATATTTATATTTATCTTTATATTTATATAAAAAAAACTTGGCCAGAAGTTAAGGCTACCTACAAAGTTGTCCAAGTAAATTCTGCTTGTCAAAATAATTACAAAATTAAAATTACACATGCATTTTTAAATCATCTAAATCACTGACAAAATAAAATTCAGCATCCAAAGTTTTCAAATTAACTGGAAGAAAGTGCTACAGGCATTTATTTACATTTTCTTAATACGAATCAGTGTCCTCACATGACATTTACATTTTTCACCAGCCTCAAAACAAATGTGACTAAAAGCTAAACATTTGCAATTTGGTACCCAGCACTCTTAGAAGAGAGCAGGCTGCAAACGGCGGGCAGCGAGCGTCACATACGAACCTGCCGCCTTGCACACCAGGGTTCGGGTTGTAACACTGTCTGAGCTGACACGTGGTTAGGGTCTGAGCCTCAAAAGAGACTGAGAGTGAACGTTTCACTAGTAATTATACATCCCAGCAACCACGATAGAAGTTTCAAGCTTTTCCCACTCAAATCAAAGTAAATAATTTAAACAAGGAACAAAATAAAAATAAAATGTATGTATCTTCATTTCAAAACAAAGTCATTTATAATGTGTGCCTACATATTTAAATCTTTAAAAAAACTATTCTGAATAAATGTTTGAGATTAATTTCAGAAAATATATTTATAAATATAACTCACTCTATAGACCTCTGAGAGCTTTAAGTGAACAGAATTTGCTAAGATGAAGATCTCATTTAACCAGCTCATGTATTATTTTAGGAAATAAACTAAGACAGCTAAATCTGTATTACTTCTAATGTAGTGAGTTTTCCATTTTGTCTGGACATTTTAAAATACCTTTTTTCCCCATCATCCCAAACATTGTACAGCATATACTTTAGGATGAAAATGGTAGCAGAAGCAAGATTTTTAAAACAATAATGTTCAGTACTAAGAGTGTTTTGTTCCTGATGATCAAAAAAGAAAATCCCATTTTGGATGTGGCTGAAATTTAGTATGTACTTAGGCACTATCTTAATAAAACCAGCACCTCAATTATTAGTACCTGCCTAATCAGGCAATGTTTAAAACAAATTACTGAAATGATTTTTCTCTTTTAAAAGTTTGTTCCTATTAAATGATAAAATATTTTTATTTACTGAGTCAACAGCATATTTTGAGCAACTGATAGCTTTTTTTATGAGTGCTGATTTACTAAAAGAAACTTATTCCAACTCTTTACAGCAAAGTTCCAACTACAGAATTTAGGCATCATTGAAAAGGTGGGTCACGTGAAAAGGTATTAATACTTAGTGATGTAACAGGGTTTTTTTAAATAACTTTAAACATTATTTCTCTAACAGTTTTCAGTAACAGTGTCTAAAGAATACAATATTTAAGGTTGATATACAAAATCACCTTAGGGAATTACTGCAAGATGCTATTTTGCCAACATGGCCTAGCATCTGTCTTAGTTCATTTTCCCTTCATCTTTGCTTCAAACAAAACAGAAAACCACCAAGAAGGTGAGTCAGGTGATTGTCTTTGTGAGCTATTTGATATGGACTGTGGCAGAAGATGAAGAGAACAGAATGACATATTTAAAAAGCCAAACCCAAGAGTATTTCCACTGTTACGATCCAGTGGAATGCAGGCTAGGAATAGGATAGAATTTGGAAATCCGGCTCTGTGCTGATGGGTTAAGGCATTCCGACTCTCCAGTCATTTTAAAGAACACTTCCTGTTCCTGTAGTTTCCTGGCAAACTCTTCTTCTAGTGTCTAAAACAGGAAGGGAGAAAGAAATTGTTATGTGCTGTATTATACTGTACACAGAATCTACTCTGGCAGCCCACATAAAACTACTGGCCCCAATACTTTCTGTGTAAGGAAGACGTGACTGCTCAGTAGTTAAGTGCGTAATTTTTGCACAATTCAGGTTCAAGACTCAGCTCAGTCATGTGAATAGATAGCCTGAGTCAATTGATTAAGACTAATTTCTCTGCTGTAAAATAGCAGTAATACCACCTACCTCATTGATATGCTGCGTGGAGATTAAAGGTGACAATGATGTACTTAACACGTTGGAGGCATCCAACAGATGACACCTATAAACTATTATCTGTCTCTCCCACGTATCATTTACCACTTCCTATGTTCAGTATTGATGTAATGTTTTTCTTGTACACTGGATTGTGTAAAGCTATGTAAAGTAAGATCTACGCCAGATTCACATTTATATCCCCGTAACACAGAGCAAAAACAGTACGTGATAAATATCTGAACTCAAGGAGACCTAATCCTGCAGGTGCTGGTACTGCATTAGGAGGCTGGGCCTTTGGGATATCACAGGCCATGAGATGGAGCTTTCTGGGCACTAGCAATGTTATAAAAGGCTGAACAGCAAGCACTTCCCTCTCTACTGTGTGAACTCACAGGTGGGCACTCAGCAGTCTGTGAGCCAGAAGAGGACCCTTGCCAGAAAATGGCCATGCAAGCACCCTCATTTTGGAATTCCCAGCCTCTAATTTATGGTATTTTTTGTATCGTGACCCAAATTGCCTATGACAGGATCAAAGACAGTGAACAACTGATGCAGGGCTAAGTGCTATTGTTGAGGTCAAAGTATAGGAAAGGACGGAAAGACACAGGCATGTTTGTCAGGAGAGGCAAAACTTGAGCTCAGTCATGAAGGAACAGTAGGAATGTGATAAGCTGAAACAGTGACACCAAGGCAGGAAAGCACAGAGCACTGAATGGCGCGTCCACACCGCGGGAGCATGCACGGGGAACAAAGCGGCGACTGGGAGGGGAAGCTCAAGGTTGACCCAAGTGTGGCACGACACCAAGGCATTTCTATTACACCCTGATGGCACCGACAGCTTACCAACAGCCCTGTGACAGCACCAGAGATGTTCTGCAGGGTAGATGCTCTGGTGGCGGCAGGCAGGTAGGGAGAAGAAGAGAAAGGGAACTAAGCGTGGGCAGAGGGCCCGCGAGGACATTACTGAGCAACTTCAGCAGACAGCAACACAGCCACGGGAAGGAGAAGGAAAAATGGCACCAAGAGAATCAACACTAGTACCTCGCAGCATGCCACGCTCACAGAAAAGCAGTCATCCAGGTCTCCACCTGGACGGCGATCAGGAGAAAGGAATGCAGGGAAGAACATCTGACAGTGGGCAGAGCTGCAGAGAGGAGGGAAGGCACGATGAATGTGAAGGAAAAAAGACAGGGTTCGGTTTGAGGTTTCCTGAGTTCACTTCCTTCAGTCAGCTTCAACAGGTATGCGCTGCTCACTCACAACGTGCCAGGAGCTCTTCCACACCTGCGCACGTATCAGTGGGTGAAGAGATGCTGTCCCTGCCTTCACGGAGCTTAAACTCTCACAGAAGACGAGAACCAAATCCACCTGGTAGTGACGAATGTTATGAAGAAAAGCAAAGACAGAACAGGCGATACCAAACGTCTGAGGTAAGCAATGACGAAACGACGCTTGAACAAAGGCCTGCGCGGAGTGAGGAGGGACAGAATACCCTGACGGGAAGGGGCAGCACCAGGCTCAAGCCAGGACCAGCCAAACCAATGAGCAGCCACAGCACTGAGCAACGGCACCACTCGGCACCCCGAGTACTGAGGCAGCGCCGCACGCGCATCACTGCCTTTAGCTTTAGGGAGAACACAGCGCCAAAATTTTACAAGTGAGGAAAACAGAGCCTGGAAATACTCAATGGCAAAATGTATCACTGGTGTTCAGCACTGAGATTTGAACCCACATCCATATGACTTTCAGGGGGGCGGTTTCTGGTACCGGGAACCGAACTCACGACCCTGCGCTTGCCAGGCAGGGGCTGTGCCGCTGAGCTAAATCCCCGGCCTCTATCAGAGTTTATATCTTGCACAACCCTACTATTTCAGCTTTGGAATTGTTCTTAAATATACAACAACTGACATACACTATCAGGACGGTAAAGGACAGAACTGAGAGTGTAAAATGCGGAAATGTCTGTATCTCAGGAGACTGGATGACAAAAGGGGACAAAGAGCACGAAGAGCGAACAGAATTGTCACAAAAACTAAGTGAGAAGAGACTTTGTTAAGGCATCTCTAATGAGACACGATTAGAGGACTTCCTTATCAGTAACTCCGGTGACTACTGTCAAGAGCTCCGGTGAGGACTCAGAGGGAGAAGCCACACTGCGAGGAGCGAACAAGTGAACCTGAGAAAAGGGCAATTGCTGTTCATTCTTTTGGAGCTTTACAGTTCTGAGCCACAGCAGTGTTTTACCCATTCAAAAAACTTAAAAATAAATAAAATTTCATCTTTAAAAGTACACTGTTACTGAGTCTGTTATTTCACTTCTTCTAGAAACTTCAGGCCTATAGCAGGAGCTGAATAGCTATTTCTTGACTGAGTGGACAGGTGAATGAAAGAAAGGAAAGCTCAGGTGTATAGCCCTTAAGAAAACAAAGGTTTAGGCCTGAGAGTTTACAGTGGGATAGGAAGCGCAGAGTGACAGCCACACAGAGTCGAAACGGTTAACCAATGAGACCAGGCCAGCAGGGAGTCAAGTATAAACAAGAGAAATGGAGGGGGGCGGGGCATTCCCATCTTCCTTGATTTTAATGCCACACAGCATACAATGGCCTTGTAATCTGGTGCCAGGCAACTCGTCCAGACGCAGCTGTCATCACTTCCTTTCCTCCTTTACTCCTCATGCCCGCACTTCTGCCCATCCACCCTCACCCACCTGCACCACGCTCGGATGACAGGGAACTGCTTGCAATTCTCTGTACACATCATCTTCGCTCTATCTTTTTCTCTGCTTAAAGTGCTCCGTTCCATTCCAATCTGGCCATTTGCCTAGAGAGCTCTTACTCACCCTTCACAGCGCACTTGGCTTACAAGAGGCCTCCTCTCTACAGCCCAGACTTCCAGGCAGCCTGAAGCACTCCACCTCTGTTTGTCACTCTAGCCCCTCCGCACAGCCTACACTGACTTCCTTCGGAATAACGATGCCACCAATATGTAACTGTGTGTCACTAGATTCTAACCCTTTTAGGAACAGCAACTTGGTTCTTTCCTCTCTATTCCTGTCCCTGACACTGTACCTGACACACAGGAGACAGAGAGCCAAGAGCTGGTGGTGGAGGAGTACAGACACAACACTTCAGGTCAAGTCTTTAAAATTACCTTCTTCTCCTACCACTTTGTTTGTAACTCTGTAGTGTCTGTACTGTTCTTTTGCTATTTTGTAAAAAGCTGTCTGTCTGTTAATGTTTTCCTCCTTTTATTTTTAAAATTAAAAAAAAATTACCTTCTTCCGAGGCCTCAGCTTCTCCCTCCATCCCTTTAATTCCTGGCTGTGCTCCTCATCTAACTCCTTGAGTTTCTGAGTCTCGTGCTCAACCAGCAAGTGGCACTTTTCATTCTGAAAGTAGAGTTAGGATTAAATCAATTCCAGATAAACCAAGCACTTTTTAACAAATACAAGTATCTTCTAAAATAATAAATTATTCAAACATAAAGACGTTATTTAAGTTCAAACTCTCTAAAAACCAGGCCCAAGAATTATGAAATAAGAGTTTCATTTTTGTAAATTTAGAGCTAGATCTATTAAAATACCATATGAACAGAAAAACAGAATTAACTTGCTCCTTTAGTACTGCTTTTTATCAAATGGTACCAGAATGTAGAGATAGGTACTGTTCTACACCAGAAAATTAAACAAATGTCTGGAGTACCCACACATGGTCTGTACAACTCTGAAACTTTGAACATTTTAGGTTATGCTCTAAACACGCTGCCCACTCCAGGTAGGATCCAAAAACAGCCCCCTCTAAATTTCTTAGGGAAAAAAATTCCCATCTATTTATCACATCTTTTCAAAAACCTAAAAGAAAATTAACCATGCCCTTCCAAAAGGAAAAGAAATTTTAAATTCAGAATCTCACTGAACTGCCTGCATCATTTTGAAAACCTTCAATCTTTTCGTAAAATATCATTTACTCAATAATGCTTTTGCCTTATTTATTTATTTATTTTTGCTCTTTTGAGACAGAGTTTCACTACATAGTTTCAGCTAGCCTTGGACTCATTATACAGCCCAGGTTGGCCTCCAATTCCCAGCAATCCTCCTGCTTCAGCCTCCCAAGTGTTGGGATTATAGGTGTGCACCACCATGCCTGGCTTCTATACTGCTTTTGAATGACTCCATTTCTTAGGTTATAATTTTGCTTCATTTTTACATTAATCACGGTTTTATAAAATATAAACAAATGTCTATTATACTAAACTGATCTTCATTTTGGCTTATACAGGAAATATAATGTTTAAAATCCAGTGTTTTCAAAAAAGTAAGCTGCCATTTCTCCGTGGGCAGCTACTACTTTCTCAACCCCAGCCAGGTGAGCTGCCTGCCTCCCCCACGCTCTCTGTCACCCCTGTGCACCCAACCTGCAGCTGATGCAGTTCTCGGACATTGGCTTCACACTGCAACTGAAGATCCCGCATCTGATTTTCATGTTTTTGGTGCTGTGCCATTCTCTCATTTTTCTGCCTCTTTTCCTCTTGTGCAGCAAACTACAGATAAGAAAATCAAACATAAATTATGGTTAATGAACAATGTGATTTCTACATATTCTAAAGGAATTTAACAAAATTTAAAATACAATAAACTAAAGCTGCAAATAATACTATCCTATGACTCAAAGTGAAGTCTTCATCATGACTTGGGCAGGAAAATAGTACTTTTGATTAAAAATCTTGGTCCTTCAATTAAACTGCTCAGTGACCTCAGTTAATCTGTGTGATACACCTGTGAATTTGACTTATCAAAGTCATCATGGTAAGAGCATGTTTTGACTTAAAAAGCTGTTCAAAGTGGTGGGGCACACACGTAATCTAAGCATCTTGGGAGGCTGAGGCAAGAGGATCGGTGAACCCTGCCGCAGCAACTCAGCAACTCAATGAGACATAAAGGGTGGGCGGGGCTGGCAACGCAGCTCAGTGTGAAGGCTCTGGGTTCAATCCCTCTACTGCAAAATAACAAAAACAAAACTGTCCGAGCCATCTCATTCCTAGGGCTCAAGATCTGTTTGAGGGCACAGGGAATCTGCCCTCCACAGTCACAACCCAGAGGAGACTACACGGGAATACGCCACGCACACTGCCCCAGCCAGTGTTACAGTGAACATCAATACCAAGGTGGCTCTAAATGCTTACAATCCAACATGCGAGTGGCACTTCAAAGTCATTCGGAAACGTCAAACTTAGAAGACAGCAATTTGCTCATTTACCTGTTTAATTTTGTCGCGGTCCTGATCGGGTGTGGCTGTTGAGTTGATTCTCAAACTTTTCTTAAACATGGCCATTCGCGTCTTGGCTTCACCGCGCTGAATCTTGGGCAGTCTCGCTCTTTCTTGAGTTTGTCGGTTTTTCAGTTCCTCAATGAGCCTCTGATTGTAACGCTGCATTTGTTCTGTTTCCTAGGAACGTTTCATACACAATCCAGTTGTGTGTAATTTAACATTCAGCGCCCACACACCTGGCTCACTACTTCTCACACTTGCTCCCCTTTGGCACAGTGACCAGTAGAATATTAGGCAAAAACTAATTCTAAGAAAAGTAATTAGTCATGAGTCTTATATTGAAATTCTTTCACTAAGTAGAGGAAATCCACATTTTTAAGATATTCAAACTGTAACTGGAGCTACAACAGCAACCTCTGAGATATCAGATGAAGATTACAACCTTCAGTGGTGGCGAGCCTATGGCACATGTGCCGAAGCTGGCTGCAATGTCACTATGGGAAGCTCTACAAGGTTCACCCTCACTGATCCAGGCCGTTAAGCACTGCAATTAGTTACCTTACCTGTAAGCTAGAGAAAGAAGTTTGCAGTCATGATCAAGATACAACTAATCAAATCTAAAGTACATCAAAGAAATTTCAAAATAAAAGGAAATAAAAAACTGGATCTGTAAGAAACATAAACACTAGCTTTGTAAACTTTAAAATGAATTAAAAAATAAGAAAATTTTTCTTTAACCTTCTCATGGCGTTTAAGTAGCTGATGTCGTTGCATAAAATACTGATCTTTAAGCTGCTGTTTGAGCAGCTGGTGTTTTTCTTGTAAGTGTCTTTCTTCAAGCTCCCAAATTGCAGCTTCTCGAGCTGGAATAAAATAATTTTCAAAATGTCACTTGGCTCTTTTTACTAATATACTTTGCTCTTCATTTTAACATTTACATAAAAGTATTCAATATATATTACCTTGTACACATAAACACACTCTGAGGTACAAATAAAATGTTACCAATGTAAAGATAATATCTACTACCACTTTCTATTCTATTTTAACATCTTATAAACTGGAAGTATCGTACCATGAACAGCAAAGTTCTGTTCTGTCATTGTAAAAACAAACAAAAAAAAAAAAAAAATCAAAGATAATTTGCAGGGGAAAGAATATTTTAAATCCTATTCCATCATGTAGCTATTAAGTATACCAAATTATAAAGTGTAATTATATATAAAGCTATTCAGATATATTTCTAGCCTCACCTGGGTCAGGAACATGCATGTTTTTGTTTTGTGTGTTTCTGGTTTTGTACGATGGCGCTGTGCGAACTAAGCACCTGATCTACCACTGAGCCACACTGCAGCCTGTTTTAAGCTATGTTTCTATTCACCTCTGCTGTCACAAGGAAATTCCATATCTGGCAATAGCTCTTAACTTTAGTTTCTTCCTATTTACACAGCTTTCCTTATCTTCCCCTTCACCACTCTGGCAGAGGAAAGCATTCAAATCATTTCCAAGGTATACCTCAGCAATGTTTCTGAGACATCGTATTCTGTGTACACACATGCCGTGGAATTTAACATACCTCTCATGAGCTGCTGTTTGTTATTCAGGCACTCCCTTTCAATGTTGGCCAATTCTGCCTTCTGTTGTTGGATGATCTTTTTAAGAGAGCCATCTAATTCTTGCTGTTGCTTCTGAACAAAATCTTGTTCCTATTAGACACAGTTAACCACCAGTAAGTAACTAACCAATGAACTAAGTACCACTTACACATGTGACCACATATGTAAGTACATAGTAAGATTTACACATTTATTTATTTTTGTGATACTTGGGATTGAACCCAAAGCATCACGCATGCTAGACAACCATTCCACTACTGGGCTCAATCACCACTGGTTAACAAGATTTCTAAACCAAGTTTACAAAGTGAGCAGGATTTTAAAATCACCAAAACGATACAGTACGTATATAATATAAACATCTTAGTCATCCAATTCAACTTGCGAAAAACTTTCACAATTATAAAATATTCTAAATTCACTTTTAAGAATGATACACACAAATAAGCTTATAGCCTGCTCATAATTAAAATGCCCTATGACATTGGCAGCTTTGAGAAAACCACTTGTAAAACTGCTCTTTCCACTACTGCATAACTAGAAGAAGAATAATAAGAAATGCCTTCCAGAAAGAAGAGCACTAATGAGCTAGCAGGCAGAGAAGACATCAGAATTTTAAACTCTATTTTTTTAAGTTATAAAGAGTAAGGAAAAAATACCATGACTGCACTAACAGAGGAAGGTGGATTCTCTATAGCCTGTGCCTGAAGGAAGAATAACTACTCGAGGATTTAATTAGAAGTAATATATGACTACAGAAATATAAACTAGAGCTACTAGGAAAGGGAGTTACATGCTATCAGTCTACAAATAAGACTCCTATAATCATGAAATTCTACCGACATAGTTGGAATTTACTGATTCACCCAACAAATACTGAGAACACACCATCTGCCAAATTTATGCGTGTCATTAAGCAGAGCTGAGTTTACTCGGCACCAAGTAAATGTGGGCCTCACCCTCTTCTTGGCAGTGACAACAGCTGGGGATGAGGGTTAGCTCGAGAGACTGCAGACCATTTTAACTGCGATTTAAAATTCATTAAGATTGAAGCAGCACATCACCTATAATCCCTCCTCTTGTACATCCAAAGGAAGATCAAACCCCAAAATCCACTTTGGAACTACGTGGCCTTGAGTAGCCTGGTTCTCGCTGCACCGAGTGGTCTAGTAGGTTCTCAAGATATCTGCCTTCTGACAGTGCCTCTGGCGGTAACCACTTCAGACTGTCACGTAGAAGTAATGTGGAGTCAGAAACGGTCCTATTTCATCTGTATCACCATTTGGATTTTAGCATAAGTACAAATATACAGTAGCAGAAAGCGAAGACTAATAAATGGCCTCTATAAAATATACTCATTTGACTATAGTTACCTAGTATATGTAACTATCACAGTCAAAAAATTTAGAGTATTTAAATTCAACTATTAGAATAGGCTTTTTGAATTTTATTAAACGGATACAAAATCTCTAAGTTTTAAGAAGTAACAAAAAATGTTCAAGCTTCTTTTTCTGTATGTATGTATGTACATATGTATATATGTTCATTTGTTCGTTCATTTGAGACAGAGTCTCTCTGTGTAGTTCAGGCTGGCCTCGAACTCACTATGTAGCCCAGGCTGGCCTCAAACTCATGGCAATCCTCCTGCCTCAGCCTCTTGAGTGTTGGGATTATAGATGTGTGCCACCACGCCCTTACAGTAAATATTTATAATAAAAATTAAATTGTTTCTCTCATTTCAATTATAAAATTTCTATATGAAAATGTGTTTAATGAACATAATCTACAGATACAGCAAAAAGTTTATTTTGATCAATAATAATTGGTTTGCATAAACAATTTTTTAAATATATATGAATAAAAACAATGGGTCTAACTTAAATAGCATATAATCTTACATTTAGACTCAAAGAAATCAAGTGTGAAAGTACAGAATGAAGTCAATAAATATGTGAAAATAAAAGGTAAATATAAACCATGCCACTAAAGTGAATATAATTGCTTATCTATGTAAATTTTGGTCATATTACCATAATATATCCCTGTCTACCCAAGAGAAGAGTTCAACTCAGCTTCTCGGCCTTTTGGCTAAGATCAAGTGAAGAGTTCAATTCAAAGAAAACTTTCACTAAGCATTTAGTAAGTGCTGGGCACTGTACTAATTACAGTTGAAAGTTAAAAAGTTTTGCTTCTAAGGAACTCCCATTACACTGATCCCTCATATCAATGGTCTTGAACTGGCAATCCCTTCTTGTAGTATCACACCTCAATAGCTCAGAAGTACACCACAGAAAACTCAGAGCCAGCATAGAGGGCCCAGAAACCAGGCCTCGTAATAATGAATGAAAGGAATACAGAAGTGTGCCCCGAAGCAGCTAATATCTATGGTACAGAAGAGCTCCAGTGGCTACACAGGAGCAAGCAGAACTAGTGCTGTGGTGCTCTAGGAAGTGAAATAAGAATCAGCAGGTATAACTCAAGGTAGGAAGGTTTTGTTTTTCTGAGACAGAGTCTCACTATGTAGTCAGGCTGGCTTCAAACTCACGGTGACCCTCCTGTCTCAGCCTCCTGAGTGCTGGGATCACAGGTGTCATCACACCTTGCACAAGTAGGCAGTTATAAGACCAATGTAAGGAAGCGGTTCTTCACAGTCAGAGTCTGCAAAGAACCTAGGTGCTTCATAGCTGAATAAGTAAGCAGGGTCTGAATAACAACATAGTCAAAGACACAAAGAATTTTTTATATTAAAGTTAAAAATTATCTGACAATGTTCCTCACACACAAATTAATATATTTAACCTTAAAAGAAATGAAACTTTAGTATTATTATGTACTCATTAAATTTTCTAACTTCAAAAGCCAAGTATAGTACATCCATAATGGAATTTGTAACTAGAAATTACTTTTAGGAACTAAGAGAAATCTTACATTCTCTAAAGATTGCACAAGTTATATTCACCTTAAAAAAAAAAAGATGGGCTTAATCACTAGAAATAACACAACAGACAACAACAATCAAAAACTAGTAAAGCCAAAAGTTATTTTACAAAATGGTCACATAAACTGTAGAAAGACTGCCCTTTACAAATACAAATTTAAATTCTGATAAGGAATTTTATCCTGTTAGTTAAATAACTATAAACATCAAAACTACAACTCTGGGTTTTAGGAAACTAAGAAAGGGTTAGGATACACTGAGCTATCTGTACAGAATGTGATTATTTTAACTCAAAAGATGTACTCCAAATGGTAATGATCAGAAAAGTGATCGTACTTCGTAATGTCTCCCATTTTTAAAAACTCCTTGTTTTGCTAGCTCATTTAGAAGACTTTAAAAAGAGTGAAATATCTGCCAATAATTTTTTAAGTCTAATTTTGTAAGAGGGAGAAAAGGAGTTGAAATCAAAGCTGCATTCTACGTACTCCGGTTATAAATAAACTAGTCTTCCCATGTGGAAACCATGGGAAAGAATATGGCCTGGAATTCCAGACTTTGGTTAAAACTGGCAATAAGAACGGCAACTCACTGTTCGTCATTGACAACTGAATAAATGGAAACTAGAGCTAAATGGAACTAAAATCACTACTTTATCATGGCTTTTCTGACCATATCCATAATTAAAACATCTACATACACATGAGCAATCAAAACATCACTTCACACAAAGATAAAAATCCAATCACAGCACTCAATTTCTCACATGTGCAAAACTTATAAAATACTATTGGGGGGATAATTTACTTTTCTTTAAAAAGATGCAAATCTCAAATTAAAATTTGTGATAGGGTAGATTTAAGAAAAGAACACTATTTTAAGTGTTCTAGTTCCAGCTCTACCATTAATCCCTTAGGCAGCTTTAGACAGGTCACTCAGTCTTCTGTGCCTTGATCTCTTCGTCTGTGAAAGGGATGTATTCCATCCCTGTAGTAGGGTGGTGGCAGTGAGAATCAGATGGGAAAACTCTCTGAAGGGCACTGTATCATGAAGTTCATGTCAGGCTACTAACAGTATGGTCATTACTGACACAATCACCTATCAATTTTCTAGACTTTAGCAAATGAAGTCAACAACAAAAAGGCACATGTGAGTCGAAGAAAGAGCAGGTAGAACAGGAGAAGGCATCCTCCCATGGGCACCTGGGACTTACGTCCTGCATTTGGGCGTTGAAGACTGCGCAGGATGACAGCTGAAAAGACTGAATCATGACCTGAGCAACACCCTGTGGATCAGAATACAGTGCACCTCCCAGGTGAGAATGTATCTGAATGACTTTCCCCGAATGTCAGGAATAATTACACAATGTTACGTTTCGTTTCTTGAAACCTACATCAAGTCAAGTCAATTACCAGAGGGGACTCTTTCTCATCTGTAGAAGGAAAGATCTCCATCAGTAGTTTCCAAACACTAGTGTGTTGCCGGTTTTTACACCAGCAGAACCTCCTTTTCAAAAACTCACCCAAAAGTCTGTTTAAAAGCATAAAAAGTAGTTGAAGTAGAAGCAGGAGCTCACAGACCCCCGCCCTTGCCTGCTGAACAGCTCCTGGGAGAGCAGCCTGCAAACCACTGCACTAGGTTTCAAACACATTCTAGCAGCACAACTATTGCTGCTACTAATGAATTCTCCACAAAAAGAGTTTAAACAAGACTGTAAAGTTACCAAGTTTTAGTGACTTCATCAAAGGGTAAAAAAATACTTCTGAAATGCATTCAGAGTCTGAACTCTCTATTGAACTTACAGGAAGAATTTACTACTACTTTCAGTTTTAGTTGGAAAAAATGTAGGGTAGTCCCTAAAATTATTTGAAAAATCATCAACAAAGACTTATCAAAGTATTGGGTCAGCTGGAATTCATTCAACACTAAATCCTCAATTTCAACTCTCAAGTTTGATGCATTACCCTTCAGAATTAAAGAAGTCTACATTCCTTCATAAGGCAAGACTGTATTGTCATTTGTTATCTGGTTTGGAAGCCAAATTAACCAAATGTAGAAGTGTGGCAAGCAAGGATCTCCTGTGCACTTTTGTCAGCAAGAAATGGCCAACAGCGGCTGGACCAAGTGCACGAGAGCGCAGGTGAGGCGCAGGGCGTACCTCACATTGGAGAGGGCTGCGCTGCGGCGTTATGGGCCGTTTGGGCATGAACGGCAGAGCTAACCTGTCTGCGTGAGAACCCTGCTACCACTCACCAGGTGAGTGACCGTGAGTCACGCAGCTTCCCCGCGTGTGGTTCTCTCACCCCTACCATGGAGCTGTGCTGTGAGTGAGTGTGAACACGGAAAGCTTCAGAACAGCGCTTGACACATAGTAATTTAATACTCTCATTTAATACTCTCACTCTAAACTAGAAACCCCCACAGCAGCTCCAGGCAAAAATGTATTACTGGCTCATGGCCAGCACAATAAAAACCAAAGCAAACTAATTTTACTCAAATAGGCCGGCTTTACTAAACTAAATTCTAAGATTATAATTTCCTTATTTTTCATAGCATATTCTCTCCCCTGAAATGGCAGTGACAAACAAACGGCAGTTTAAAAATGACTTACTTGACAAAAAAATAACTATGGCAGTCTATGTCATGGTCCCTGGGGTAAAAGTCTGAAACCACTTCTAAAAATCACACAAAGCCACATGGAAAGACTAATTCAGAGCAGTAATTAATATATACTTCATGTCTCTTCTGTTTATTGACATTTTTAACTAAAAGTTGAGCTCCTTTCTCTATCTTTCACTCTAGGATTAATACAAACTTAATTAAAAGATTCATCTTTTTAGTATAAAAGACCTTATAAAGTCATGTGAGGAAATTCTGTTAAAAATATTAATTTATTTTTGAAAAGAAGTCACCCATCTTATGACCAACCCTTATCAATCTAAAATCGTTTCTTTATAAGAAAAATGGTGTACTCACTTAACTGCTGGATTCTGAATCAAAAAGAAAAATAACATACTTAAAATGATTTTTTTATTGGTTTTTGTTTTGTTTTGTTTTTCTCCAGTACCGGGAACCGAACTCACGACCTTGCGCTTGCCAGGCAGGCGCTTTGCTGCTGAGCTAAATCCCCAGCCCCTTTATTGGTTTTTTGAAACAGGGTCTTACTATGTAGTCCACGCTGGCCCTGAACTCATGGTGATCCTCCTGCCTCAGCCTCCTGAGTGCTGGGATCACAGGTATGTGCCACTATATCCAGCTAAAATCTGATTTTAAAGTTGCTTATGTTGTCGTCCAGCTTGAGAGTAATGTTTAATCTACCATTTAACATTACACTTACCATTTTTCTTCTAGTTTCACACTTTAGAGGAACAGCAGCCTGACAGGCCTGCTCTCCCTCAGCACAGTGTCTATACACTCACCCCTTTCTGTCCTACAGTGTCTCTATTACATACAACCTCCACCCAGACTAACAGTGGGTAACAGTGGGTTTTACATTAACATATCTGTTTCTTTCATCTGGACTCAACTTTCTAAACAATCCATTTACTTTCATATTAGCAACTCAATATCATCAATAGGGTGAATTTAGCACTGAAAGAAAGATCCTGGGAATCTCTGGATGGGGAAAAATTCACCATATAATAACTACAGTTAAAAATCTACCCATTCAGCCAGGTTTATTGAGCTGTGAGAAAATGCTGCTTTCTGTTTTTAGTAGCATTCAGCTGCTGCTGTTACCTGAACATGCTGGCTTTGTGCAAGCTCCTCTTTCCTGCGCTTCATGAGCTCTTTTCTCAGATCTTTGGGTGCTTTCTCCACTTCATTTAAAACCTAGTGTATAAGCATGCAGGAAGTGGGGAAATAATGCTTTCTCCACAGCAAGCAATTATGTGAGCAGACAAGCTACAAGTCAAGTATTAAAGCGGTTTAAAAGTTCCTTTCAACATGCATTAGCGTGTTAGTTTGGTGAAAAAGAATAAAAGGACAGAGCAGAGCATGCTTAATTTCAGTGCAGAAAGGGACACTAAGCACATAAAGGTTAATTAGTTGCTTAATTAACCACGTATTTTCTCTTAAAGAAACAAAGGCAGTCAGTGAAGGGTTACTTGCAGCACTATTGCTGAACTAAAGACGATAAGCTCAACTGACCTTGAAAGATCATAAAATTACACTGACATTGTTTGAAACAGTGAACATAAGAAAAACTAATGCCACTTATAAAAGTGCAAACTTTTATAACTGACTTGATAAATACCAAAGAAATAATTCTACATGAAATCCACTTAATGAGACTGGGGGAAAAAAAGAAAAAAGGAAAGGAAGTCTTAGAATTTGCAAAGGAGAAACAAATGGGTACTACACTTTTTCCATAAAACACACCTTTTTATACAGTGTGGTAAAAACAAATGTCTGATGATTTCTTTAGGATGACAATAACATTCTCCTTTGCTAACAAGTTAAGCCATGCTTATTAACTATCAAATCAGTAGTATAAACACTTGAAGTTTAGATAACTCTGATTTACTATGCCATATATAGTATATTTTATAGTTCCTTCTTTTAATCATTTCAAAATCCTAGACATGAATTCCATCTACAATAGATCTACAATCCAGCTATAAAAAACAATCACATGTTTACAAGTAGAAGCACCAAAAGAAACCAGATTCCAAATCACCACATGCCATCAATGGTCAGAAAGACTGATTCTGATTTTACATAGTGTATTTAAATTTTCCATCAGCAGTCCCTCATGAAACCAAATCACCAATAAAAGAAAGAGACTCCCCAAATGCAAGAAGTTTAGCAATAAAGAAAAAATACAAAATTACTTAAAATAGGCATTACATGATCTCAAACATGTTGACTAGCTAAAACTCTAACAGTAACTCACTACAAACCTATTTATCTAGAATATCTCATATATATTTAAATGTAAAGTCTTTTACTTTAATCTGACACAGAAACCAATCCCTCAATAAAAACTACCCATGATTTTAAGGAAATTAACAAAAACATAACGAATGGTAACAAAGGTAATGTTCAGAAGCAGTAGCAATAGCAAATAAAATTACATACCAACACTGTGCTTAGTAACACTCAACTCTTATCTTATTCAGCACAATGTAAGCACACCCTTAAACTGAACAGAGGGAGGGGGGTTGTTCACATGTAAAGGACAGGAGGTATAAGAAATTTAACATACTTTCCAGGTTTTTCTTCAGAATTTAAATGTAAAAGTCAATGAATCTGGGTGATTGAAACGTGTAACAAAAATGAAAATGTACCAATAGTTTGGTTGAGATTTTTTAATTCTAAACCTAATAGAGTTATTTACAATTATTTCCTTGGGATTTTTTGTAACATTAAAAGATATATCCACTTCCTATGCTGAAGACATAGAATAAATCAGAACGTAATCTCTGAAAACTCCTTAGATGTAAAGTTCTCGTAGTTTTAATTTGGAGATTAAAAGACAATAATAAATGGAAATCTTCCTTATGAATCAGTGATAATCTTTTATAGAAAATATTACTGCAAATAATTCTATAGCAGTTTGGATGGGGTTGGGGATATAGCTCAGTGGCATAAGCACCTGCCTGTCAAGTGCAAGGTCCTGAGTTCAATTCCTGGTACCAAAAAAAAAAAACAAGTTTGGAACCACATTAGGAAAGATAAAAAGCTCATTCTAATCAACTGATTTACAGACACTTTCCACCTTTACTTCCTCAAAGTACCTCCCAATTTGTTAAGCTTACAGAAATTATTTCCAATTTCAAGTTACTCAATAGCTTTTGGTTGGCACAATGTCCACGAAAATCAATAAAGCTAATCAAAAAATGTGCTAAAAGTATGAATTAAAAATAACAAACATGGGGCTGGGGATTTAGCTCAGCGGCAAAAGCGCCTGCCTGGCAAGCGCAAGGTCGTGAGTTCAGTTCCTGGTACCAGAGAAAAACCAAAAAAA